ACAGACGCCGTCGACGTCTTGGGAGGTATCAAGCCGCTGTCTTCCCTTTGTTTTCCTCCTCCACCGGTCCTGTCTACACGGCCGCTACCACCACGTCCACCACGCCACCCGTCGCGCGCCGGCAAACAGTGCCACCGCGACCACCATGGTCTGACGTTCGCGTCGAGTCGTGACAGTACGATCACCACGGAATGACCACCACCGGTCTTCTCGCCGGGATCACCATGGAATGGCCTCCCGTTTTTTTCACCACAGACTGACCATTGCGTTGTGTGGTCACCATGGAATGACCATGGCGTACGTCACCATGGAATGACCATGAGGTGGTTGCACCACGGAATGACCAAGACGTGGTCGCGTCACCATGCAATGACCATGAGGGGTCCGCGTCACCATGGATTGACCATGAGGGGTCCGCGTCACCATGGATTGACCATGAGGGGTCCGCGTCACCATGCAATGACCATGAGGGGTCGCGTCACCACGGAATGACGCAATGACCATGACGTGGTCGCGTCACCATGATCCCCGTGGAATGACCACGGCGGACTTTGATCGGCCTCCCCGTTCACACCTCATTAGTAATCGACGTGGCACATCCTGGGACCCAGCGGCGGAGGCAAGGCGGAGGCAAGGCGGAGGCAAGGCGGAGGCAAGGCGGAGGCAAGGCGGAGGCAAGGCGGAGGCAAGGCGGAGGCAAGGCGGAGGCAAGGCGGAGGCAAGGCGGAGGCAAGGCGGAGGCAAGGCGGAGGCAAGGCGGAGGCAAGGCGGAGGCAAGGCGGAGGCAAGGCGGAGGCAAGGCGGAGGCAAGGCGGAGGCAAGGCGGAGGCAAGGCGGAGGCAAGGCGGAGGCAAGGCGGAGGCAAGGCGGAGGCAGGCGGAGGCAAGGCGGAGGCAAGGCGGAGGCAAGGCGGAGGCAAGGCGGAGGCAAGGCGGAGGCAAGGCGGAGGCAAGGCGGAGGCAAGGCGGAGGCCCCGCAGGCCACGGGGAATGACCAAGTGCACCGAGCGGCGATGGCGGCGACGACGCGGCTCTGACAGTGCCCTGACAACGCCGAGGTAATTGCGCCACTTTGTACCGAGAGATGCCTATTTTTACATCGAATGGATCAAAACAAAATGGAAATCGGTGTTTTTGAAGACACTCGGTGGTTACAACACACTTCCTGATGCTGCGACCTAACCAACTCTGCAAAATGGGGGCACTCGACCATTCAATCCGCGCAGGCACCGCAAGGAGATTTCTTTCCAATGCCTATCCAGTGATTTTTCCACTGGCTGTGTGACACGTTTACCCGCAGCTACGAGTGTCCCGAGGGGGGTGTCTGTCTTTTGTTTTAAAACCGTCACCTCGCGTCGGTATTTAAGTGATAGGCTGCTCGGCTGGTCTGGGGACTCGAAAACGAGTCGCATCGAGTCGCATCGACACAACCACACTCACACACACTCACTCACACACACACACAGACAGACAGACAGACAGACAGACACACTCACACACACACACGCGCGCGCGCGCGCGCGCGCACACACAGGCGGCGCCATGAGATGAGACTCAGGTACTAGTCGTAGTATAACGCCCTCGTGCACCGCCTTTCAAAAATGTGACGCGGACCTGTGCGCCCCCCCCCCCTGCCTTTAGGTGCCAGCTGTCTTCGATCGAGATGAGCTCTTTCTGTCGTTTAGTCGAGTAAAAGAGAGAAAGGGGGAGAGGGGAGGAGGAGGGGGGGCAACGGAGCCCAAACCAGCGGCGGCGGCTCTCGTAACAAAAGCGGTCCCCATTTTTACAAAACTCCACAACGCACAACAGTGCGCCTGGATAATGGGTGTTGGGGCCTGCGCCGCTGCAACGCCGCGCTGCGGGTTCGCGGGACGAAGTGCGACGAACCCCCCAAAGGTGCCCCTCATCCTCATCCCCCTCGTCATGACCGTCGTCGCGGTATGCTGGCCGCCGCACCCTCCAGCACCGCGCCAGCCACCAGGGTCGAGGGCTAAATCATCGCTAATTACTAATTAGTCATTGCCAAGTGGCCCCTCCACCGGCCCCTCCGCCGGCCGACCGCCCGTTCGGCGGCTGAAAAAGAAGCACACACTCACACGCATACACGTGAGGCCCAATCCGCGTGTGTTCAGTGCAGTGCTTACCCTTTTGCGCCGGACGGCGGTAAATATAACACACACATACACTAGCTCTCTCTCTCATACACACACACACACACACACACCTACACACACACACACACTATAAAGGGAAGTCCGAACAGCGGCCCCTCTATTGCTACCTGAATGGCTGTGTTGATTGCATGTGTGCCCATGGCGGCGATGCTCTTGTCCATAGAGACCGCGGCCACCCCGCCACGCCCCGCCACGCCCCGCCACGCCCACTAGAACACCACCACCACCGCGGATGAAAAGCAGTGGCTGTGCTGCGGATAGCCAGAGTGCTAATGGCCTCAGCGCCCCGATCGAGCTCTAGTGTCCTGGGTTCGAATGCCGCCTCTCCGATCTCTGTCCCTTTCTCTCTCTCTCTCCATTTCAACCGCGAGTATTTTGGAACGCCCGGCCCGGAGCGCCCCGCCAGGAGGAGAACGCCCCCGATGAAGGGCTTGCATTCGTGCAATATACAGTGTGCGCAGCGTATCACTGTTGTGTTGTGATGTGATGTGAGTAATGCAGTAAACCACCGGCCGTCCCGACGCCCCGACGTCCCGACACACCAAACACAAAACGCTGCCAAGGCGCTGCCTGGCGGCACTGGCGACCCGGAGCCCCGCCTTGCCCGCCTTGCCTTCTTTTTTGTTTGTGCAGATCTATTTCTTTTCCGTCTCGTTCCTTCTTCTTCTTCTTTTTTTTCGAAACACTCTCGCCGACTTTGGCGGCGCCGCGGGCCCCCGGCTAATCCCCAAAGTGTTCTCGCCACACACACACTCACACACACACACACACACACACGCCGCCACCCCTGCGAGCCGCAAGGCGTCGGCGAGCACACAGGGTAGGCTGGGCTCGTCACACGCGGCAATACCTGTGTCGTGTTAGCCAAGTCTTGTGGTCGATGGCGTCCACGGCGTCCGCCCGGAGCGGCATCGACGCTCGCCTCCGTCTGCCCCAGCAGCCCTCCATCCCCCCCTTTTCCCAACTCGCCGCCAAATCTGGACGGCAGCGATCGCTTTCTTGGCCTCCAGAGCGATTCCGAACGAACATATCACTTTGGTCGCGCACTCGTGCCGCTCTGGCGTGCGAGAGAGACAGAGCGACGGCACGCAGTGCGGAAGGGTATCTCGGATTTCCGCAAAGTAGGTTGCCTAGTTCCCAGGCTTGCAGATGAACGGTCTGGCCATGGGCCTGGCCGCTTGCAAGGACTTGCTGTGGCGCAGCGCTGCAGCAAGGCGCACATCCAGCCCGCCTCGGCCCGCCGTCTTGACTTGGACCGGGTACTTGATGGCGTCCGTGCTGAGCGACGCTAGCGGGATGGCCAGCGAGGGCTTCATTCTCTCATTTCGCGTTTCACCTGCCGTGCCCTGCCGTGCCCTGCCGTGCCCTGCCGTGCCGTGCCGTGCCACTGCTTTCCTTTGATTCCCTTTTCATTGTTTCTTTTTGGGTGTAGTCGTGCGGTCGCGGTGCCGCGGCACAATTGCACTGCCGCCGCGGCGCGCTGCGGCACGCCCAACAGTCTCTCTCTGTCTCTCTCGCTCCCACGGGGCGTTCCGGGGGGTGCGAGAGAGACAGCGCGGCCCGCTGCGACCCCGGCCCGCCCCGCGGCCACCCTTTCCGGGCTCATTTAGCACAAGGCGCCTCACGACGCCGCGCCGTCTCGTAATCGACATTTGAACGAAAGCCCCCCCCCCACCCCTTTTTCCCTCCAGGCCTCACGAACGGGAGATCTCTCCGGAGACGCAGCCGCATGTCGGCGCCCTTGCCGTGCCGGCCGTGCCGCGGCGAACCCCGCCCCTGCAGGGCCCCGCCCTGCCCACTTGCCGACAACATGACGGAACGTCAGGACTATGTAAAAACCAGTGCAGAGAATGGCCCCTGTCCCTGCCTGAGCCCCGCGGACAGTCCACGGCGACAGTCGTGGAAAAGAGCGCGCTATTGCAGCGGGGCTGCCAAAATTGGGGCGGGAAAAGGTCCCCAGATGGTTTGGTTGGTCTGTCTCCCCCGCACACCCTAACGCCCAATGAGTTTGCGAGAGAGGCTGGTGGACAGCATCAGTCTACAGCCTCGTGCGGTATTGGAAGCGAATGTTGTGCGGGTGGACGGTGGACGTGGCGTGTTGAGGGGGCTCGGCTCGGCAGTGGAACTTCCCCCGCGGCCGACAGGGGGCTGGCCCAGGCAGCCCAACGCGCTGGCGTGCCTGATGGGTGGCCTACCCATCAGGCGCTCCGCTCTCTGCCTGCTGCCCACACAGCCAGTCACACAGGGTGAGTCCCACAGTGTGCGCGCGCGTCTGCCCTCGAGTGACTGAGGGTTGGATCCTGTGAGACGAAAGCAGCCAGCGGGGCGATCTGCCTGCGTTTCGCGTTTGAATGGTTCGGCTTGCCGCGGCCGCAGCCAGGGCTGCCACTGCACCGCGCGAACTCTCATGACCATAACCGCGACCGCGGGCCTGGCGGTGTGAAGTGGCGCCGCGTGACCCCTCCGACTTGCATTGGATCCCCGCGCAAGGTCGCGACGTGCTCGGTGTCTGCGAGCCTTTCTGCCCGCGAGCACTCCGGGACTCGGTGTCAGCGCGCCGGGCTGGTACCACTGCGGCCAGCTGACGATCGGTCGCTTTATCGATTTGCCTTCGTTTTCGTGGTGTCACGGTGTCACGGTGTCACGCTTCCGTTTCGGAAGTATGGTGCGTCTCCGGACTCACGCGCTCCGTGCGCCGTTCACGCTTTGCGCCCGTGCCGTCCGTGCGTGCGGGGGCGCGGCGGGCGCGGCCGCCACCGGGGAAGCACGCGTCGTCTGCTCGCCTTCACCGCGCACGCGCACTGCGCTCCCACTTCCCCTTCCTGCCACCCCCGCGCGCCCCGCGACCACCCTTGCCCTGTCAGCGCCACTGCGACTTCAAGGGCACTTGGCGGAGACCAGCAAAACGGTGTCATTTCGATTCCTGAGTCAAAGCCAGAAAGCCATCACAATGAGCACCTACAAGATTGTTATGGTGAGGCACGGCGAGAGTGAGTGGAATCAGAAGAACTTGTTCTGCGGCTGGTTCGACGCCAACCTCAGCCCCAAAGGTGAGACCAGTGGAGGGGTTGTGCTTAATAGGGGTTGTGACAGTTCTCTACAACTCTTTTGGTTCGCTGCGCTTGCCCTGTTTTGGAAATCGCACCCTTAAGTTGCTATCTTCTTCCGTCAGATGTGACATTTCAGAGTCTCTGACAGGTTAGGTTTCAGTCACATCTGACACAATTATGTTGAGACTTGCCCGTTGTCTTAAGAGTTGTTCTACAATGTCAGCCTTCCCTGTCAGTCAAATACTGAGCACTATTCGCTGTCATTTTTCCTTTGTACTTGCTCTTTGCCATAGATCTGTTGCAATCTTGCCTCATATTACTGTACTCTTCATGTTCTAGGTGAGGAGGAGGCCGTTTCCGCTGGCAAGGCTCTCAAGGAGGCAGGCTACACATTTGATGTTGCGCACACCTCAGTCCTTACCCGTGCCCAAAAGACTCTGGGTGCCATTTTGAATGGCATTGGCCAGGCTGATCTGCCTGTCGAGAAGTCATGGCGTTTGAATGAGCGTCATTACGGAGGTCTGACAGGTTTGAACAAGTCTGAAACCGCTGCCAAGTATGGAGAGGACCAGGTATGGATTGAATCTATTTGTAACTCCATGTAACCTGTTCTAAGTATATAAGATCTGAATAGTTTTATTAAGATTGCATCATATCTGTTTTAGGTTCAAATTTGGCGACGAAGCTTTGACATTCCTCCTCCCCCAATGGAAGCTGACCATCCCTACTATGAAACAATTGTCAAGGATGCTCGCTATGCCAATGGCCCTTCACAGGATGAGTTCCCCAAGTTTGAGAGTCTGAAATTGACCATTCAACGTACTCTGCCTTACTGGAATGACGTTATTATTCCCCAACTGAAGGCTGGCAAGAAGATTATTATCGCTGCCCATGGCAACAGTTTGAGAGGCATTGTTAAACATCTTGACAGTAAGTAGTTTGTGAATATATTTCACTGAAATCGAATGCATTTGGTTCTGTTTCTACATGTTTGTAATATGTATTTTATTCCCAGATATGAGTGATGAAGCCATTATGGGACTGAACCTCCCAACTGGAATTCCATTTGTGTATGAACTCGACAAAGACTTCAAGCCGGTTGTGTCCATGAAGTTTTTGGGTGATGAAGAAACTGTAAGGAAGGCAATGGAGGCTGTTGCAGCTCAGGGAAAATCTAAGTAAATTTGCAGACTTATTTTAATACAACTAGGTACTACCACTGTACCTTTGAAATGATTGTCTTCTCATAAAGAAGGATAAATGTTTCGGTACAAATAAGCAAGGATTCTCTACCTTCCTTTATTTTATTTTTCTGTGTTTCAATGTTAAGTTGTCACAGTTGAAAGTTTCCTTATTTATTTAAGGATTGTGGGTGCTGTGCACTCATGGGTCATAGCTTTGTAGACAAACTTTTAATACATGCTGGTTTCATGTACAGTCCAATAAAATGTTACCACCTACCTGTATTCTACAATCAGGACATGGTCTAGTCCTTGAGCAAGCCCCTCTATTCTTTCATGTCTATTTTTGTTTTTACCAGTTTGTTGAGATTTATTTATTTTTCCTGTGTTTGTTCCAAAAGGCTTGTTTCTTAAAAAGGTCATTCTTTAATGATCACTGAAGGTATTCACAACAGCCAGCATAGTGATTAGAGTGAAGTTATTGTATTTACCATGACCTAGCTCAGTTTAAATAAATAGAACTGTTGGTGAGAAAGGTGCAAATGATAACGAGTGCTCCATTTGTCGGCATGATTTTATTTCCCTTAACCACTGAGTGGATAAAGAACAGTCATTGATCTCATCCCTTCAAATTTCCTTGCAGAAGGTTCTTCACACTTCTAAGCGTAACCATGATATGGTATTACTTTTCAAATGTCTACTTCACACATCATCAGAAAATATCACAAAATAAATGCAATCTCATGAATATGTGGACAATGCAATTAATTTGAAACTGCTGTGAAATGGGGTCCAGTTACAAGAAAGCAGAAAAATTGCCACTGAGAAGTTTGAGATAGGTGGCAAACTGAATGTAATGGCTTCGGCCTTTGGCACATTCCGAACATTGGTGGTTATGTGAAATTTAAACAGTTTTCATTGGCAGCAGCAGTTAAAACATAATCAATGCACAAAAGGTCACAGATCAGAAAAGATACCTAGAAGTTTTAAGAAAGTATTCTAAAATCGCCACTACAATTTTAAAAAAATACACGTAAACAAAATTAAACGCTTGCAGAATACAAATAACATTAATATAATTCGAATTTATAACAAATGATAACCATGAGTGCTAAGCAAAAGACAATGTCCCATGGTTGATACAATAAAAACAAATACAAGATAAAGTTAGATCATTCAAGGACACGAGCTTATTTTGATCCCTTTACATTTTTACAACTTGGCAACATGAAATGCCACAAGCTGGTACAAAGGACAATATCAGTTAAGAAAGTGGGACAGTTCTCATTAATTGTAGCTATGACTATACACATGCTCCAAACATTAATAAATTGATGGTATATCACAATCTGATGTGGTAAATTAACTATTTAATGGAATGACATTAGCTCTGAAAGCTACAACGAAAATGCTTCAATGTACTGAAACAAACAGTTGTTACACCTCCCTGACAATGGGTAATATCCGCCAGAGTAAATAAGTACACATGTCAGATATTCAGGTGGTCGACAAATTCAACAACATACAGGTTGCGCAACCCACAAACAAAAAGCTGTAAAGTAACAAAACAGGAAATGACTGATTTCCAGCATTATAGACTTCATGAGTAACATACATATACATTTAGTTTTTACTTTGGAATATGTCAGCATGGTGGCGTATATGTTCACAATAAAATATATATATATTAATATATGTACGTTTTAGATTACAGTGATATAAAAATAACATAACACCGGGAGTGTCTTCATTCTATCTTTCTTAAATTTTTTGCATAATCTTCGACCACAATCCAATTATTCTTCATCTTTCATACTGGCGAGACAATTCTTGAAGTGTTGTACTTGGGACTATGAATGAAGAGAGAAACAACAGTAAGATCCTCAGAGAACGATGAGGCAACAGGCAGCTAAAATGTTCGAAGATGCATGACAACTTACCTTAGCATGCTTCACTTCTAGCTCTGCCAGCTCAATGAGATGTTTACGGAAGGCTATTACTCTACGAGTCTTGAAATCCATAAGTTCTGGAAGGAACAAAACGTCAAGGCATCAAAAAACTGTTTCATGACCATGACACATTCCTCAAGTTGAATTTCAAGAGTAACTCACCTTCTTTTCCCTTGTCTGACATTTGGTCAAACTTTTCACAAGCTACCTTTTGAGCAGTCTCAGCCTGAAACATACACAGCAAATAAACAATACAAGCAGAGGTGAACATCAATGAAGAATGGCAAGCACAAAATTCAGATGCAAAAAGAAAAAGAAGAAAATAATTGTTTGTCTACTGACAATTATCAAACAAACAAAACAGATCATAGCACACTCTTGATCCAAGATGGAGTTGCAACAAATTCCAAAGCTAGAATATAGAAAAATGCATCACTGTAGCAACTTGCTAATTCAATGACAATGGATACACTTCCCAGAATTCATTCAATAAAGAGCAAACAAACAGTCAGAGGATCCAACCTAAGCAGGTGCTATTTACATTAATTGGAACTGAAACATGCACAATTTGCTCCTAGACTTCTGTACCAGAACTACCTACAAAGCATGTACTCAAAAAAACTTATTGACATCCTTGAAAATATGTCACACCCACAAATTCTCAAGTAAAACAGTCACAAAACTACATCACTCACGATTATTTTTTTTCTTAAGAAAACAATAGCTATAGCACAACTTTATTGATAATTTTATCTTTCTGTAAACTACCTGGAGGACTTTCCCAAACAGTCTTTCTGAATACTTACTTCTGCCACCTCCAAAGCCTAAAAAACACAGCAGTGAGAAAGTGTTCATTAGAACTTAGGCCCTTTCAAATCTGCTGCAACTTGCATCCAATCTTTGAGTGAGAAATTACTTCATTCAAAATTAGTGAAGTGTTAAAACGTTAATGGAAAACCACATATTTTTAGAACAAATTGTTAGTCAATACACATCAGGCACAGATCCAAGAGAGAATAGATCCAGAACATGGTGAAAGGCCTACTTCACATTCCACAAAGGAGCTGAGTTTTATAACTTATTATTTTCATCAAGCTTCTTACTGGATTTGCACCTTGGCCAGCACATAAACTTACACCCATTTAAATTCTTTCCCACTTTAACATTAAATAAACTTACAGCATGAACATCCTTGTTTTTAGCTCTGGCTTTTTCCAAATTCCGATTAGCAGCTTCATAATTTGCAAGACATCTAAGTCGTCGATATAACAGGCGTTTTGCAGCATGAGAATCCCGCATGTAATATCTTAATAAATCAGAGAGCTTAAGGTCTTCGTCAGAAGCAACTCGCCCTTCAACTTTCTGTAATAAATATTGTTTCTTAGTACTTAACTTTTGAAGGGAAGAAATCCTGTTGAGATGGCTATCTCAATATAACACACTCACCCTGGCTTTCTCAAACAGTTCAGCAACTTTAGTTAGAGATTTACCCAAATCAGGATCAACAGCAGACAACTGCAAGAGGCCTGTGTACACCTTAATAAAAGAGTCCGCCACATCTGGAAAGAAACATTCCTTAATATACGAGTATACAGGTATAAACAGAATGGCTCATTTCACATAAAAGTTATTAGACCTTACCTTTGTGTTTCTTTGTCATGGCATCTGACTTAGCCGTTGCTTCCTTAAGATGAGCATGATATTTAAGGAGGAAGTTTTTCTCCTGTTCAAAAAAGTCATTCACATCTTTTACAGTTGCTGACAGAAGCAGTTCATCACTAGTAGTTGAAAATGACTTGACAAAGCCCTCCAGCATCTCCATGCGATTTTTCCCTCTGACACACAAGTCCTGAGGCAGAAAACAAAATTATGTAAAGATGCCACAAGAGATACCACAGCAATCGACTGAGAAAAATGCTAGCTTGCCTGATCATATTCCAAAAATACTCTGAGGTTGTGGTCATTGCGGAATATTGGATGACTAACCAGCCGACACAAAAACACTTCATGCATTGCAACTGTTTTCTTGAAGGTTGCTAAATACTCACTGTATGATAGAAAATTATGTTTAGTAACTCCTCACGCCATGGGATTAAATTACAACTTATGTTAGTGTTACATACGCTTCAAGCTCTTGCTTCATTTTGGAAAATTCTTCTTTGGTCATTGATCCTTCGCCTTCCCCTAACTTTTGAAGCTTCTCCCTTGATGCATCAAAGTCTGGTCGAGGTGGGGCAGGAGGTATCTATACAGAGAAACCACAAGTACAAAGTTAGCATGATTTTGTTAGTACAGTTTTAACTTAAATACAAAAGGCACAGTTCCATGGCTCACAATGTATCCAGCATAGTCCTCATTTTCTTCAAATCTATCATGAAGCCAAACAAATTCTTCGTGTTGACGAACCACTAAAAACTCTGGCTTCTGAAATTCGGGTAATGTTGTCTGCACGAAAAAGGACACAAATCACATATACTCAAAAAATCGAGTCCAATACACAACCACAATCCACATATTTGTAATATAAGTCACTGGTACCTTTGTGTGGACAGTAAATTTGACTTTCTCTTTTTCACTGAGGGCATCCGAGATGTCAACAACAAGGGAATTGTCGGTTAGGTCCACAGTTTCTGATCGGACTCCCTGTCAAAACAAATGGATGTGAATCACGGAACGCAGAATAATTAGGGTGCTATAGAAAGCAAAGTAAATGCACCATTCTCTTACCTTGCGGCTATCATCAGCTTCCTCAACTCCATCCTAGAAAATAGTCAACACAATATTCATTCATAATTAATAAAACTAAACACCTTACAGCCCAGGCATTCAATGGCAAAGGAAAGTTACGTAATAAAAACAAGAGACATGTAGAAATAATACCACTCAGGGACAGAAAAAGTTCCTACAACGTCCTAAGCTTCAAATAATGATAATTGAACTGTGTTTGAGGTTGAACGGAGACAACGAAAACAAGTGATACATCGTAACGTCACAGGAACAATCCATTCATTCCGAAATGACACACAGAAGAGGCGGCGTCCCAATGTCACAGTTAGGTTAGGGCCGAGACAACAGAGACCGCTAGTAAAGGACACCTTACCATCATTTTTGAAGAGACTGTGCGTGGACGGTGAAGAACGAAGATAGGACGCTACTACACGTCGGACCGATCGACCGGTTCAAGGAGATGTCACGAACGTCCCAAATGTTGGAAGCAAAAGAGACAGGACAGTCCTCGCCAACAGTTTTTGACAAGACGAAACTAGGGTTACAACTCGCACGGGGGTGGGGTGGGGGACAAGGGGCGGGATCGTCTGGTACAAACCTTTGAACACGAAACCTCGAAAGCAAACTCTGCATCGGTTGTACCAGGAAACTTGAAGAGTGATAAATTTCATGCTATGAAGTTATAAGAGATTTTTTTGCGATGTGAATAGTCAAAAATGGTTCTTAATTCAGTAATTTATTAACAAAAATGTTCTGTTTGTTACTTAATTTTTCATAGGCCTCAGCTAGCTTTGCTGAAATCTCACCCAGAGGTCGCTGGTGTTCGGAAGGAATCTTTTACCGTCGGTGTTTTTATTTGTAAACCGTAAACATTGTTAAATTGAAGTAATCTTCAATTTGATCTCTTTGGAGTTTGTAGCCAGTGAGCCCTCAAAATGGCAGCTTTCCTGGGTGTTGTCCGTCAGCAACTCGCTTCGCTGAATCACACTGCGGGAAGTCACAAAGACCAAGCGGACAGGTAACCTTATACTTACATTGCCTTGACATCCCTTTGATGCCATTTTAATTCATTTTTCAGAGAAATTGTATTAATAGCTGTTTTAATTTACAGGTTCCGTACTATTCTTGAGTCTATTATGAATTCTGCAGGCGCTGAACTCGCCGACTGCCTCAAACTTTTCATTGACGCAAGTATGTTGAGTGCTCGAAATATCTGTTTCAAAGCTTCATGGAATTTTGCCTTCATGATATTTCTTCTGTCGTTCATAAATTTATGCCTTTAGTTTGTATGATACTAATTCAATGGGTTTCCTTTTTCCCCTCAGTCATTAACGAGCAAGTAAGCTTGGTCATATCTCGGCAAGTGCTGTCAGATGTTGGTCAACATCTTACAAAATTGGATGACGAACTCTCGAAAAATATAGCTCATTACACTCTAGAAAAGGTAATACTGTCTTCAATTTTTGATCGTTTTTAAATCATGACAATGATTGGAAATTAACCTGTCATTCTTATTTCAGGTTCAACCACGTGTTATCTCCTTTGAAGAGCAGGTGTCTAACATCCGTCAACACCTTGCCGAAATTTACGAAAAAGAACAAAACTGGCAAGCTGCCGCTAAAGTCTTGGGCGGAATTCCTCTGGAAACTGGCCAAAAGTAAGTAAACATAAGTAGCAAGATGAAGTCAAAAAAATGTCATTATTGTTAAAAGTTTAAAATAACTTAAACATGTAAAATTTTCAGGCAGTATTCTGTGGACTACAAACTTGAAACTTACATGAAAATTGCTCGTCTGTACTTGGAAGATGGTGACTCCATTTTGGCGGAAGCTTTTATTAATAGGGCATCTTTGTTGCAAGTAAGAAAAATTGGACCTTGTGTTGCCTGTCTAGATATTTTTTGACAATTTATTTTCTAACAATTTGCATTGTACACTCTCAGGCTGAAACGAAGGATGAACAGCTTCAAATTTATTACAAAGTATGTTATGCCAGGGTTCTTGACTATAGAAGAAAATTCATTGAAGCTGCACAAAGATACAATGAATTATCATACCGCATCATTATTCATGAGGATGAGCGTATGACAGCTTTGAAAAGTGCTCTTATCTGTACAATGTTAGCTTCTGCTGGTAAGAACTCTCATTATTATTTGGAATAGAGGAACCATGGCTCTTAGCTTTTGGTTCAAGGGTAAGGTATCCATTTTCTCAAAAGATTTTAAAATGTTTCGAAATCTAACTTTTTAGGACAACAACGAAGCCGTATGCTTGCAACTTTATACAAAGATGAACGCTGCCAGCATTTGCCTGCTTATAATATCCTGGAAAAGATGTATTTGGACCGAATTATTCGTCGTTCAGAGCTTCAGGAATTTCAAGGATTGCTTCAGCCTCATCAATCTGTGACCTTAGATGGTAATTCTACTTTCAAATTTCTAACAGTAATTTTTGTTTAGTTTGAAAAATCTTCAACACCAACATAACTCTTGAATTGGGTTTCACAGGCTCAACTATTTTAGATCGAGCAGTGATTGAGCATAATCTTTTATCAGCTAGCAAGTTGTATAATAATATAACATTTGAAGAGCTAGGAGCTCTTTTAGAAATCACCCCTGAGAAAGCAGAGAAAATTGCAAGCCAGATGATCACAGAGGGAAGAATGAATGGTTTCATTGATCAAATTGATTCCATTGTGCATTTTGAGAGTAAGTTGTAGTTCTTTCAAACTACTTAAAATTATTAGCAAAGGGTTGTATTTGTCAATTTGAAATTTTATGTTGCAGCCAGGGAAGTCCTTCCAGCCTGGGATAAGCAGATCCAATCTATCTGTTATCAGGTCAATTCAGTTATTGAAAAAATCGCTCTCCATGAACCTGCCTGGCTTACCAAAGTGGGTGATGAAGATATGATGGTTTAGAATGTTTATGTAATTAATTAATGGCCAAATGTTTCAAGTTGTGTAATTAAAATTTAATTTAAGCAAAGCTGTTTTATCACTAGCCTTTCCTACAAATTTATCTAGTTTTCAATCCAACTGATAGTTATGATGTAGGAATGAGGGGGAATTTGATTAAGTAGAAACAGAATTGCTCACTGCAAGTCAACTTTTTATTATCACCAGATACAATGAGTTCGAAGGAAATGAAATACATTTATAGGAAACACTATCATGCTTTCTCCTGTAATGTCTTTTAAAGCAGTGAAAAGCTTACATTGGAAAATTGTATAGGACACTTACAATATCAAGTGTTGAAAACAAATTAAGAATAAAATTACAGTTTCCTCATGGGATAAAAATACTTCCTTCCATTTATTGCCACAAGAGCTAGCACTGATATCACGCTGAATTAAAAGAACGGCAAAATGGTTGCAGCAATCAATACTTTGCGACAAGAGACAATGTACAATGCAAAGGTTCACTAGGCAGCTTTTAAGAGCTGCACATTTCACAACAGCAGGTATAACTAAAACATTAATTTTACCCTACTTGTGGATGATTCACTAGTAAAATTATCTCAATTTTGTGGTTTTAGTCATGCTTAGGCGGAGAACTCAAGAGCAAGACCAAGCTTGTGACCACCCTGGTTGAAGTTCTTGCCGTCGATCATTGTAGACAGAGTAAGGGTAACACCTGAGAGGGACAATGGGTAATTAGACGCCAGTTACAGCAACAAGAAAAATTCAACCAGTAAATCCATGAAGATGTAAAAAAAATTACCATCTCGCAGTTTCTGTTGGTAGCCAAGACCAATCTGGCTGTTGTTGTTGACCTTAGCTCGCACAGATGCATCAGAGTCGAGCTGGTACTTGCAGGCAAGGCCAAAGGTTGTGTCATTGGAACCCATCTTCCATGAGAGCTGGACACCAGTCTCCAGATCAGGTCGTGCCTTCTGGTACAGAGATGCGCCAAATTGCTGGCCATCATTTCTAGAAAAGAAAAAAAAGCAGATAAGTAAAAAATCTCAAACACACACAAAAACACAGAAGTTAATTTACCAAATGGAAGCAACACTTACACATTGGTGTGGAAAGTGAAATCATTGGTGGAATAGCCAAGAGCAATGTTGTTCATGGTGATCTTGGTGTTTTGAGCATCAAATTTAGTTTGGTAACCAGCCAACCAGCCTAAAAAAAAATTTCAATTAGTGAGAAAAACGAGGGTAGGTGACTTGTATTGAAATTAAAAGGGACTCAATCCTACCGTTGTAAGCAATAACCGATGAAGCCAACACAAGAGGAGCACCATTCAGCAGGTCAACATTGCAGTTAAGAGCACAGCAGTCATTTTTGAATGCAGATGAAATGCTTCCAGATTTTTTACTGAAACAAAAATCATATTAGAGAGGAAGCACTGAAAATTATTTATAACAAAGTCAGTGTACCAGCTGCCCAAAGTTACCTTGTCTGGGGAGCAAAGGAACTGTCAAATGCAACCTTCAGTCCCTTGACCAGGTAATCCTCCATGGACACCTCGGTGGTCAATACATTGTTTGTATTCCATTTCTCCACAAATGTGAGACCTTTGGGAAGATTAAAAATCATTAGAAACGAATATCTTCAAGAACATTTTACTGATATTAATTGAGCTTAAAAACCCACCGTATTTCTTGACGTTGTATTTGCTCTGTAATGAGGATGTCACCTTGCCGGTGTCGTGGGCAGCATTGCCACCAGATGTGAACTCCACACCATTCTTTGTCTTTGTTTTAAGGTTGAGGGACAGAAGTCCAAAATGGTAGCCACTGTTGAAAAGGTCCCGGGCGCACTTGCCAAGATCGTTGTAGGATGGTGGGGCCATGACCTATAAAAAAATACCGTTTTTAATTCAAAGAAGAGGTTTTTCAGAAAGAACGATTACAAACAGGTCTGCTGACTCTTAAAAAGTAAAGGACGGGGGAAATTTCAGGTGCAAAGATCTAAAATGACAGGCTCTGGTCAAGACCTTCCTGCTCAGGTAGGCATAAGGTCCTGCAGCAGGTAAGGTTGTTCAAGTCTCACCGGTCCCTACGTCGAAGTAACCGGGCCGGATCCTCTGAAGACATACTCGGGCGTTGCAGTGTACGAAACCAGACCGGATTCATTCCAAGTCCTCGAGTTCCTTTGAGCCTAAGATTTAACCTGTACGCCGCTGCAGCCCTCCCTCGACACAGCAGAAGACTGCGCGATCTACCCCAATTAGAGAAGCCATGAGACATTGACACCAGAGTGCTACAGGCCACGGGGCAAGCCTTCAGAGTGCATCGAGGTTCCAAAGTTCACTGGGCGGCGTCGCCGTTCTCCAGGACAAAGAAACATGGTGAATGAGTGAAAAGTCCACCGGCCATACCCGGCCATAACCTAACATTGCAGGAAAGACAGCCCGTGGAGTTGGGGGCCAGGGCCTAAAAGGTCCCCGAAGGAAAACGCCGAGGTGTCCCTCCACGTACACGTGGCGGAGTACAAAGGGAAGGAGAACATTGATTCCGTTTAGTGGCGGAAAACAAGGCTTGGTGGAAGTAGGTTAAAATTAGCCCCTGTTCTTGGGGTGGCTGCTTTGGGCCATCTGACTGCTGGGGTCCTCTATGAGACATGGGAACGTCGGTTCATACAAAACTTGCAACTCACTTCGCGCTGCGTCAAAGATGCCGCGAGCGCTCTGGAAGGCACGAGGTGTCAAATCAGACGAAAAAGAGACTTACTGCGGTTTGAAGAACGGGGGTGGAGGGCTTCAACGGCGAAATCGAATTCTTCAAGGCCACCAGAAAGGGAGAAACCTCGGGACAGTCTGGCTGGCAGTGGTGGTAGTGGCAGGGTGTAGTAGGAGAGGAGGGTGGCGTGGCGGAGGGAGGGGGGACGTGGGGGCCGTCGCGCGTTCATTGGTCCTTTGTCCGCCCATGTTATGACAAATTTAAAGGGACGTTTACCCTGTCATCCCCGGCGCGCCCTAGCGTGACCCCTCGGCCGACCCTTGTACGCTTGCATCTTTCCCGGTCCTAAAGCCCTAAGCCCAGGCCATACACTGTTTACCGTCCCTTGTCACGGGCCCCAAGACGGGCCTAGCACTTGCTGTGGCAAGGCAGAGAAACCATGCAACGAACGCATGTGCGCCGTCTCGCCCGAAAATCACATACTCGTCATTTTCGCGCATTTCGAAACCGCGACGACTGCAAAATTCCACCGAGATTGCGCCCCACACCACCACACCATTAAATTTGGCGGCGGAGTTTTCGCCGCCCTTCGCTTCGCTCCGACGTGGACAGTAGACGGTTGTTTTCGCACAGCGCCTGCCAACTCAGGGCGGGCAGGCCCGCAACGCGCGCATGAGTGGTGGGCTGCCTACCCTGGCGTCAGCAGGCGTCTCGGAGAAAGGACGCCGCCCGCTCACCCCCTGCCACCGCCACCCGCGGGGGGGGGGGGGGGGGGCGCAAACAACACGATCAGCATCGGTGGGAAAGAGGAGGGGAGAACGGGCCCAGGTTGGGTTAGACTCGCAGACGTTCAAGTCAAACGGGCTGCCATCGCGGTGATAACGAATGTGATTGGAGTCTCCGCAGTTTTAAACGACTTCCATTAAAGGGCAAAATTTTCAAATTTTCCAAAGTTTCTGTGAGTCATTTTATGACACAAAGGCAGAAAGTCTTCAGACTGTTCCTCTGGTGCGTCGCTCATTGTTTATACTTACGCGACCGCCAACGCGATCCCCGACCCAGGATTACTTTATTTTAAAGCTCGCCGTCGTGGAAAGTGCCCAAGCCCGGCGAAACGCGGCCAAGCACGGCCGGCCAAGCCACCCCTCGGCGATTGCCCCCGCGCCGCCCCTCGCCGCCCCCCTCTGCGTGTTGAGGGTGGCGCGGTGACGTCGTCGCGGTGACGTGTCCGCGAGTCGGATGCTGGGAATAGCTCCGCGCACTCCGCGCGTCCTTCGGGCTTCGGCTCCTTCGACTTCGAGAGGCGGCGTGGCAAGGCGGCGGCGTCGGCGGCGTCGTCGGCGTCTGTTGGCGTATTTCAGTTTACCTTCGCACTCCTCCGAGCACTTGGCTTCGCGGTTTGCCGACCGACCGCTCCGCGCGTGCCGCCAGCGCCGCGCTCCCGCCACTCCGAACCAAACCTCTCGAACGACAACATGGACTACATGGACCGGCGGCGGCGGCTGCACCCGCGGCTCGCCATGATGGCCGCGCTGCTGGACGACTGGTCGCTGCCGTTCACGCGGAACGCGGCGACGCAGGGACGTCGCGGCAGCGGACTCACGTTCCCCAAGTGGCTGCTCGACGACGGCGAGGAGGACGCCGACGACAGCCCCGTGCTGCGCCGCAGCAGGTCGACGTGGGCCACGTGGCCCAGCATGGACGAGGACAGCGGTCGTACCAAGTGGCTGCTGGACGACGAGCCCTGGTGGACCACGTCCGCGCAGCGCCGCGAGCACCGCGAACAGCATCCCCGCGACCAGGAGGAGCTCCGCGCCGCGCGCAGGCGGTACTTCGAGCCGCGGCACGGCCGCCGCCAGGACCACGACGACGCCGACGACGACAGGAGGGTGTCCTTCCGCGAGGTGCCGATCCGAACCAGCGGCCAGGACCACGACGACGACTTCCGCCGCCGCGACGCCCCGGCGAGGGACGCCGTGTTCATCCGCGAGGTGCCCGTCAACAGGAACAGCGCGGCCAGGGTGTCCTTCCACGACGATAGGGCCGCCGTCGAGGAGCCCGCCAGCCCCATGCACGCCCGCGTTCAGGACTTCCTGCGCAGGGGCGCCTCCGCCGGCAGGGACGTCCCCGCCAGGGACGCCGACGCCACTAGGACCTTCACCAGGGAAGTCCCGATCGCCGTCGGCACCGATAGAAGCGAGGACTCCGGCATCACCACAAGGACGACATTCGGGACCAGGGCCGTCCCCACCTCGCTGGTGACAGACAGCGGCGGAGAGCCAAAAGGGGTGCCACTCAAGAGGGACAACACCGTCATAGAAGTCGTGCCCGCGAAGACCGCCCCCGTCACACGGGACATCCCCATCACGAGGGACGTCTTCGTCACGCCGGCTTCAAGAGACAACCCTGTCACCAGAGACGCCTTTGTCACGCCGGCTTCAAGAGACATCCCTGTCACCAGAGACGCCTTCGTCACGCCGGCTTCAAGAGACAACCCTGTCACCAGAGACGCCTTCGTCACGCCGGCTTCAAGAGACATCCCTGTCACAAGAGACACTCCAGTCACGAGAGACATGCCGGCTTCACGAGGCGTCTGGGACATCCCCGTCACGATGGACTCCACTTTCAGCAGGGATGCGACCCCCAATAGAAAGGGCGGCTCCGTCACACGAGACATCCCCGTCGCAAGAGACGTCCCAGATACGAAGGACATCCCTGTCACCAGAACCGTCCCCATCACGATGGACGACACGATTCCGGACTCGCCCGTCACGAGGGACATTCCCGTCACGCTGGACGCCTTCCAGCCGAGCACCGCGACGAGCACCGCGACCGAGGGCGCCTGGAGCGGACAGGCCGACGACGACACGGAGACTGAGGTGAGTCCGAGCACAGTGGGCCAGAAGACCGGTGGAGGCGGCCAAAACTCTAGACGCGTTTTGAGCTCCAGAGTCGCTACGCAGGCCTCGAACCAAACGTGTGACCCCACCAATGGATTCCTCGTTCAAAGAGCAATCCATTGGTGGGGTCACGCGTTCAGTTCGAGTCCCATTTAGCGACTCTGGAGCTCAAAACGCGTCTAGAGTTTTGGCCGCCTCCACCGGTCTTCTGGCCCACTGTGCCGAGTCCGGCGTCGGGCCTCGCGCACCCCGAAGGACCTCTCTGTCGCACTCATGCGCGTCCCTCAGGGGTGCGAGAGAGACACGTGGCGTGACGACCCTTCGGTACTGCTCCGGCTGCTCGCTGTTTTCGAGTCCCCGTGACGCATGCGGGATGTGTCGCGCCGCGTGCGGCTGCACCTGACGCGATGCAGCTGTGACGTACAGGCTTGTGTCGCATCACCGGACCCCCTAATACCGCTTCACGACAAGCCGGACACTGCGCTAGCCGCAAGCCCTTTCCTGGTTCTCTCTTTTTCCCTCTCCTTCCGCGAGATAACGCGTCCCGGCTGGTCCCGGCCCGGCCCGGCCCGGTTCGGGGGTTCCCCGTCCAGTCGGCGGCCCACTAGCCGCGGCCGGCGCGCGGCCCCCCCTCCACCGACACGACGCGAGACACGACAAACACCCAATTCCACCGCTAATCGCGGTGCTGCCTGGCCTGGCGTAGCCTGGCGGTGCTGCCTGCGCGGCATGGCGGCCAGGCAAGGCCTCCCCCTGGCTGCCCTGGCCCTGGCTTCGCCATTCCGATTCCGTGCCCCACCGGCGGCATCGTCTCCCCGGATCCCGGATCGCGCAGTGACACAGTGTAACACAGTGCAGCCAGACGACAGACAGCGGAATGCCGCACCGCCACGGGGCGGCGGCCGCGACCGCGGTAAGGCAGCGCGTCGCACAGTGGGCCAGAAGACCGGTAGAGGTGGCCAAAACTTTAGACGCGTTTTGAGCTCCAGAGTCGCTAAATGGGACTCGAACCGAACGTGTGACCCCACCAATGGGTTCCTCGTTCGGAGAGCAATCCATTGGTGGGGTCACACGTTCGGTTCGAGTCCTGTTTAGCGACTCTGGAGCTCAAAACGCGTCTAGAGTTTTGGCCGCCTCCACCGGTCTTCTGGCCCACTGTGCGTCGATCAGTCCAGCCATTCCGACGAGTCCCTCGGTCGCTCTGTCTCCTTCGCGCCCCTGCGGAACGCCCTCGAGTGCGAGAGAGACGAAACGGCACCTGGGAACGAGCCTGCTGGTGGGTCGGCTTCCCCTGCCGGACTTTGTACTCCGCCGGGCCGAACAGGAATGTTCTTGGCGGTCAGGCGAGCGCGCCGTTCCTGCCGAAGTCCGAAGAGTCGTGTCGTCGCGCTGTCTCTCTCGCACTCATGGCGCGTCCCGTGGGGGCGCGAGGAAGACAGCGGCGAAATGACTCTTCGGGATCAGCAGACCTGCGATTGTTTAATGAAATGTTGCCGTTTTAGCGGCACGGGAAGGACGCTTGCGCTTTCCCCGGCTGGCGTCGTCTTCCTGCTGCTTCCGTGCTTCGGGGCGAGGGTCTTTGCGTGGTCGCGGTGACTAGCGGCGACTGGTGACGCTACACTGCAGGGTGACGCGCGTCGTTGCACCAGAGTATTCCTGCCAAAAGACCGAAAGGCGACGTGGGCGCGGTCCTGGCCATGCTGGCGCCCTGACTGTCTGTCGCACTCATGGGGCGTAGGCGAGGGTGCGACTGAGAGAGCGCCGCTGTCCGGAGCCAGCCGGGTGACGTCACGCGCCGAAATTAAGAGTGCGGACGGGGTTCGTCACTCGTTCGGCGCATGTTAGGGAAATGGCGATTCGACCGCTGCGCCGCGTTCGAGGGTTCGAGTGTAGCGGCATGCCGCGCTAGCCACGCCCACGCGTCAGCCCGTCGTCGGCGGCCTCGCCAACGCAGTGCCGTGAACTTGGAGGGCTGGCTTGTGTTTTCGCGGACGCAGAGGGGCGTGCTGCCAAGCGCCCCGCCCCGCCCCGCCCTCCATTCCGCTTAATCAAGAGGCCGTTGCGTTTCCCTCCCAACTTCCTGCAGACTGACTCCGAGAGTCGTCTCTCCGTCTCTCTCGCACTCATGAGGCGCACAGTGGGCCAGAAGACCGGTGGAGGCGGCCAAAACTCCAGACGCGTTTTGAGCTCCAGAGTCGCTAAATGGGACTCGAACCGAACGCGTGACCCCACCAATGGATTGCTCTCCGAACGAGGAATCCATTGATGGGGTCACACGTTCGGTTCGAGTCCCATTTAGCGACTCTGGAGCTCAAAACGCGTCTAGAGTTTTGGCCGCCCCCACCGGTCTTCTGGCCCACTGTGAGGCGTCGACAGTAGGTGCGAGGGAGGCAGAGCGACGAAAACGTCTCTCAGTGTGCTGCCTCTGAAACGACTGTGTCTTCCCCGCAGGACGTGGAGCAGGACGGCACCATGGTGCCGCAGCACCAGCTGCGCAGGGAGCAGAAGCGGTGCCTGCATCTGCAGGACGAGAACCTGCGCCTCAAGGCCGTCATCACCACGGTAAAACCCTGAACTGCAGTCCAATTCCGAACGTGGCCCTGTCTGACTGAGGACCCTTACAGATCCAGGAGACCAACAAGCGGTGGCAGGGTTTCAACGCGGCGCGGCAGGCCTACATCGAGAGGCTGCTGAGCACCATCGAGGAGCAGCAGGTGCAGCTCAACGCGTGCCTCGACGCGCTCAAGACGTCGTCACCGAAGCTCGCCGCCAAACCGGCGCCGCCCGCCCCCGCCGCACCGGGAAACGCCGCCCCCGCCGCCCCCACAAACGCCGCCCCCGCAGCCCCCACAGACACCGCCCCCGCGGCCCCGGACGTCATGAACGCGGAGGGGCGGCTGAAGCGCCTCCAGGGTGAGGTGTCCGACTTGCAGCGTCGCCTGCAGGAGGCCAAGAAGGAGCACCGGGACACGGTGTGCATGCTGCAGCAGGTTGGTCGGTACAGGAGGCTACGTCAGCCTGTCTCTCCCTCTCTCTCGCACCCATGCGGAATGTACAGTGCGAGAGAGACTCTACATTCCGCATGGGTGCGAGAGACACAGGGCGACGCTTTGATGCCGACGGTGGCTCGCTCTAACCACGCTTCCCTTGGTGCAGGTCAGCAACCAGCCAGCGGCCCCCGCGCGGTCCGACCACGGCGTGGAGGAGACGCCCCCGCCGAAGGAGTCCGCACACCCGGAGCAGAACAAGGTGAGCGTGGCCGTGATGCTGCCCGCCTCGGGGCTCGGGGTGGAGGCACGTCTGTGCGTTGTGTCTTTTTCTGACGCGGTCCACGTTGCAGCTCTCCGAGGACTCGGCGGCGAGGCTAAGGGGCACCACCAGCCCGCGGCCGCGGTCGCCCGCCGCGCCACACCGGCCGTGCTACTACGACGTGGTCACGGACAACCCGGCCAGCCCCGCCAGCCCCGCCACGACGACGCCCTTCTTCGCGGAGCGAGAGCGCGAGCGGACGCAGTACTCCTTCAACGGCGACGCGCTGCACAAGCACCTGCAGCAGCGACGCGGGGTGTCGCCCGCCCTGTCGGACGCGCTGACGCCGACCCCGACGCCGCCCCCGCAGCACCAGCGCCCGGAGGAGCAGCACGCCGACGGGTACCCCGTCGAACTGAGCGGCTCCTACTCGTCCCTGTGCAGCTACAGCGGCCCCGCGCCGCACGTCAGTGTGCCCAGCAGCAGCAGGGCCACCACCCCGGACCAGGACGTGTCCATGTGCTCCGACGCCACCCTGGACTGCTCGCCGCCGTCCCCCGTGCAGGTGAGGCGCCCGCCCAGCCTTTGCTTTCGAATGCCCGTGCGCCTGAAGCGAGTTTGGTGCGGTCGCGCCAGCCTGCCGAGCCTGGCGGGGTTCCTGAAGCGCCCTGCGGGTAGGCAATCCTCCGGCAACAACGCACGCGTGTGCGGCACGTTGCCTACCAAGCGCCGTGAGGGTAGGCAAAGCCCCGGCACAAATGCACGCGTGTGTGGCACGTTGCATGCCTACCCGGCGCTATGGACGGCTAACGCGAGCGCGGTGGCGTGGTCTGAGAGAGAGAGAGATTAGACTGCTTTGCCCTCGCTCTCGCTCCTCCCCCTTCGCGACTCGTGCATTTTCCTCAGTCCTCGCGAACGACTGCATCTCTCGGGCGCCAGACGCACAGACACACCGATCGGCCGAGCAGGACCGCGCCACACAGTGACACAGTGAAACTGCACATGTTCCAGACCTCCGAGCGGGAGCGGGAGCGGGGGCGGGCGGACCCCTTCTGGCGCGGCCTGGGCTTGCGACTGTTCTGAGCGGACAGGACGGCGGACCGCCTGCAACCTAGGCCAGGGCAGCCGTGGTCGCGGGCACAGGGCAGACGACGGTGAGCTGCGAGGTGAGTCGGCGAGGGGTCCGCGCCGCCCTCAGCCCTCTCATTCAACATTACCACCCACACTGTGAACACCGGACCGGCGCGCCAAACACGCGGGGCGGCACTCGGCGAGGCACTCGGCACGCCCACCACCCTAGCAATTCACTGTGACTGTCTTGCAGGGCACGCTGACGGTGGGCTTCACCGGTGCGGGGCTCGCCAGCATCACCGCCTTCCACGTGCGCCCCTCCGCCCCCAGCCCCGCGCCAACGCCGTCGTCGCCCAGCCAGCCCCTCGGCGCCGTCCACGTGCTGGCGCGCGCGTCCTCTCGGGGCGGGTGCGCGTCGTCGTCGTCCGAGGAGGACTCGGGCAGGGGCGGCACCACGACGTCGACGACGTGCTGGCGCGAGGACGTGTGGGAGGGCGCGGTTGGCGCGGTGCAGCACAGCCGGTCGGCCAGCCGCCAGGACGTCACGTGCCCCGCCTGCGGCCGCGTCTTCCCGCCCGCACTGCAGGCCACCTTCATGGCGCACTTCGAGGCGTGCGCGCTGCAGCCGCTGCAGCAGCCCCCCAGGACCACGGCCGCGCCGCCGTCGCCCAGGACGCGGCGCTCCTGCAGGGTCCCAGACTGAGCGGAACGCCACTAGGGATTCGGTGGTATTGAAATAACAGTGTAACAGTGGTGCGCGCGGCCCGCCCGCAATGCACGGTGGTGTTAGTTGGTCGGACAGTGTACCGGCTGGGGGGTGTGAAACAGCATCTTAACAGGAAAGAAATAATAAAGAATCAGTGTCATCCAACTTTATTAGTCCTCATCTTTAAAAAAAAAATACTCTTTAAATTTTTTTTAAAAAAATTATAAAACAGTTACAAGACTCTCAAAGCAGTCGAAAACACAAACATCAAACAATTATAAAACACTCTTAGTTTTTGTCATTTTGAGCGTAACAAATAAGGTACATGAAAATACAAAAATACTTAAACCTATGCCATGCATGACTGAAATTAACAAAGGTAAACTCCACAGAAGAGGGTAGTAAAATCAAAACACATACTACAAAAATGAGAGATGTGACAAAAATTAAGAAATTAAAAAAATTAAAACTCTACTAGTCATAATACAAAAAGATAAATATTTCCTTATTTTGAATTTGGAGGATAGAACAAAGACATTTTAGGATATTCAGAAGAGATCTTTACAGCATCAATCCTAGTCTGAACTTGAAGTAGATCTTGAATTCGTTCAGGTGTAGCAATATCACGAGACGAACTGTTTGCTTCAAGTTCAGATTCTATATCAGACACCTGGTAACCTGAAGTTGAGGGCGGCCAGCTGACAAGACCACTATGAGGTCGTAGTGTTTCTGAAAGAGCAGCCAATGCTAAAAAATATAAGTTTTTAAAAATTAGTGACAAATTTATTAGTTCTCTTGCATTGTTTAAGATGGAAAGACAACTTACTGGGAGTGGGCAAAGAAAATGTGTTTTGCAACAATTTCTCCTCGAGATCAACAACTTTTCTAATGAAGATGCTCGAGCTGGGAACTGATTTAGGGGTGTCTCTGACCCCTTGAATACTTGTCTTAGTTTTGTCCTTCAAATAAACATAGCATTTTCCATTAGTCACAATTGAAAAGGATGAATCAGGCTACAAGTTACACTAAGTCTTAACATACATTATAAAGGAAGCTTGTGGCAAATCTTGGTTGAGTTGATGTCTTATCCATGAATGTTTGCATGAGGTTGAAAGTCTCAGGGGAGTCAGTAACATCTATATCTATTTGTGCATCAGAGGGAAGACCTAGAGCTAATAGTTGCTTCTTGAGGCCTAAAAAAGAATAACATTACAAAGAGCTTGTAAAGAAAGCTTTTATGTGAACTGGAAGGATTAAGAAAACTTACTTCTAGACTTCACACATGTTGTATCCAATACACTGGTCATCTTCATTTGTGGCTCTACAGCTGCCTCTGGTTCTTGAAGCACGCTGTCTTTGAAGTCAGGGTTGTCAACTTCTTCCAACAGAGGAAGAATGTTTTTGACGCAAGTGACCAAAAGTTCACAACGCTTCAAAATTCGATCTACACCAAGCGTTGAATCCTTTTCATCCATCTTTCTAAGAACAGCACTCCCTTCCTTGACAGCTATAATGTAAAATAGAAAGTGAAATAAACATGTCTTATATATTAAGTATTTTTCATAGTCGATAAACCCAAATTATACTGTACCTAATTCCAAGCTATTTAACATCAAAATCACAGGAGGTGTATCAGCAAATGGAATGGATGCAGTAAATCTTAAAATGTGCTGAACTAAAACATCAGCATTCAGAACGACAGACCTAACAAGTCTCTTCAGCTCATCTGGACAAACCACTCTTTTTGCTAGGATGGACTTCTTGATAACAGCTGTTGCAGTCCAAACAGTACTATGAACAACCTGTAATGAAAAGAGAGACAGGTAAAATAAATATTTTAATGATAACCACAACACCTGAGCTCCGGAGCCACTTTACCTGAGCAAGTGCCACAGGGTCAATAATCCCATCAATCAATAGCCACAGCTCTTTCACTTCTATGTTCCAGTGTTCTACCAGTAAACGAGCAAGCTCAACCTGCGAGGGTGTTTCTTTCAAATAGAGTGCAGTCAAGGCCGGGACTAAATTTGTTTCCAAAGATTCTAAAGATGCCAGACAACTGCGAATACCTAACACACCTAAGAAGGTAAATTTTCATTTATTATTCATGCTCATTCATTTGAGGATTTTATAAAAGTCAAATAATTCTTACGGTTTTTATCTTCTGAACATGCAACTGCAAACAAAGCAACTTGCAATAGACGGTCCATGTGTGAATCATAGGTGGATATGGCGTCAGATAGGTCTTCTGCAGTTTTCTCAACACCATTCTCTGACTTTTCTCCAATACGAAATAACAGAGTTTCTAAAGGTGTAAATAGATCCGAAAATACCTTTAAAATAAAAGAATGCTATGAGATTGCAAAACATTTACACACTTGGATCAAATTGTGCAGATAAAAGATTGAAAAAGCTTGTCACCTGAAGATACATTTTCAAAACAGAAGCACAGACTCTTTGTTCCAACTCTTCTAGCGCATCCGACAGAGACATGGCATGAAGTTTGCATACTGAAGGGTTACTGCTGGCACTTTTACATTCCCTCTCTAGATTGTCACTTTCTCTTAAAATCTGAAATCGGAGAGTGTTTTAATTTTACCATGATTAGATGCAGCGATGATACCACATGAGCTGAATCAAACCTTTTCCCCACTGGCATGGATCATTTTGAAATCAAGCGGAGATGCAATCTGAGCAATTGCCATTGCGTGTTGCAGGACTGCTTCCACAGAAGTGCGCCATTGACTGTCCAGAAGAGACTGGCCAGTACCTGAGCCAAACACAGCAAGCAGAGAGACTGCTTGGTCCATGTGTATCATGAACAATCCACCTCCAAGATCATCGCTCTCATCTTCAGGAACCTCGCCCTCTACAACCTTCTTAATCTTCTCAAAGCAAATTTTCATTCGCTGAAGAACATATCCTTTCACCTCCTAGAAAAATAAAAATAATGGACATAAAATACCTTTAATTCATATTCTTACAAACTTTACTTGATAAGAAAAATTGACTCACAGCACAGTTTTTTCCTGTGCCAGCATTAACATCCAATGCACAGATCAAAAAAGCAAATAACTTTTTCAGTTGAGATGCACATAAGAGGAGTAAATTTTTAGATGCATGTCCTTTTAAAGTACCCCAACTCAAATACTTATAGACATACTCCAGAAGTCGAGAAGAGTTAACAAGCAAACGCTGAAACAAAATTAAACAAAACCACAAAAACATAATCATATCTGCAGCTTAAATTTCAGTCGCAGCATAGGCTTTTCTCTATATCTCACCTGAAACTCAGTGATCATTATTTCAATGTATTCACACTTTAGGATGCCTCTAATGTTATGTTCACATAGTTGCAACTGTCTCAGCATCTGAGCTCTGCGTGCTTCCTCCACAGTCTGGATCAGAGTGTTCATTACACTCTTGGATATGCATTTCCATTTTTCTGCATCAAAGGATCCACCAATCTGAAACAATCGAGTAAAATTTAACATTATATAAAAAACGATTGTTTGCAAAGACTGCAATGGCTGAGTCCTTACCGTTTCCTGATTACACTGCACTGACTTTTCTTTGACAGCTGCGGACCTAGAAGAAACCTGTTGCTTGTCGGCAGAAGTCATCTCTCCCACCATGCCGTACGCTTCCACAACTGACATAAGGAAAGAGTCGACAGCTGATGGAACGCCCGCCCCTCCATCATCCGCTTCTCCTTCCAGTAGCTGCAGCTACAAGCCAACAACAAAAAAAATTCAGGTGACAGTTATGCAAAACTGGTCAGTTTAGAGTGGTCTCTCCACAAATGTGTGATAACTCTTGAATTTATATAAGTTGGTTGTGCCTTGTGGATCTAGCACTACAGACAGCAAGGCCACAACGTAAAAATACGAATAGGCACACTAGTAATAAGCACTGAAAGAATGTTACACCTGACACCACCGGCAACTTACCTTCATGGCAGGTTTGTCAAGGATATAATCGTACTGTTGTAGGAAGTTTGGAAGCGTAGTCATTTTGAAATAGTTCTTGGAGTCTCTGGCGCAGACAAATATTGACGAGACTTAGTTTAAAGAGGGTTTTGACAGGCAATCATTACAACTGAATGAACTGAATCAATCACACTTTCAGTTTCAGTTAGTTTGAGTTTGAGTTTGGTTTGGGGAGGGGGGCATGATAGGGTGACCACACGCGATGTTCTGTGTTCCGCTCTCAAATGTAGTTCGATATGGGGAGTTGAAGTTTGTATCAAGTAAGATATGGCAAAGATCATGGTAAGATCAAGACAAAACACTCAATTTTTAAAATCCTGGACGGTAAAATCAGTCGGCCACCGACCTATCGTCCAAAACTACCGTTGGCAAAACTGAAGAATGGTATGAGAAACTGTTCCACAGTTATTTAGCGGGATGATTCAATGGAAGGTGTCCCTAACTGGGGAAAATAACACATGACGCGATGTAAGGCTTTCGGCGCAGGTAGGGGCAGTTTTCTATCGCACACACATTTACAAATTGGGAAAAGTGGAGGTGCCCACCTCTCGCCCGTAGGCCAAACCCCCGTAAAAGCTCGTTACGGCATCCTCTACGGCACCCATATCCCCTTTTCGGCCGCTCCTCCGAAACTCGACGTGTCGCGACAAGCATCTGCAAGTGACGCAAGAGACGGCCCGCCGCCAACGCTAAGGTGCCCCTTCCCCCTTTCTTTGTCGCACCTGTCCCGTCACCTGTCCTTTCTGTCCGTCCGCCGTCCGTCCGTCCGCCTGTCTCCCTAAACTGCCGCCAGGACAATTTTTCATCCTCAAGTACAACACTCGAACCTCATCGAGATCTCGCTCAAAGCAGGTTCGAGAGGAAAAATTATGTCTCCCTGAAAACACCGAGTGTTGTTTCTCTGTCTCTGATCCCTTGACGCTTGTTTCAACTGCCTTTCCCCAGTTCTTGTCCGTTTGTTGGGCCGTTTTCAGCGCGTCCTGGACCGTGGACGCGCTGTGGGCTGCGCGCGGAGTGGAGCCGTTCGGTTTGCGAATGCGGCTCATCTGACGGAAAGTTTGCCGTGCGCTGCCCAGCCCAGCAGCCGTCACCGACCCAAATGCGCCTGCCACAGAGCCTTGCCCCAGCGGTCCCTGGTCCCCGCCAGTCCCTGCCCGTCCTAGTCCAGTGATGTGAAAATGGCTGCAGAGGAGCTGGTGGTGTCGCTCTCCAAGCGAAATGACAGCTCCGGACTCGGCTTTTCCCTGCTCGGGCTGTCAGGCCTGCCCCACGTTATTTACGACATCGTGGAGCACTCGGCCGCCGCGGACAGTGGCCAGGTGGGTGTAGTGTCTGACCTAGTCCGGCAAGGCCTTCTTGCCCTGGACCAGGCTCGTCGGCCGCCTCGTCGCAGCAGCTGGCCCGAGTCGGCGCCGATAATCCCAGGACCTTGACGTCAACCCCTTGCTCAGAAACCTCGCTGTATCTAACCATGTCGGGGCTGTATCCTGGAGGGCCATGTAGCTTTCTCCATGGTCTGCAAGATGACAAACTTTGTCTATTTTGTAGTGATATTTTCCTTGTTATTCATCTAGAGTAGGTTTCGTGTGTGGCTGATTAGGTGCTAGTCACCCCACTTGCGATTGGTCCTTGAAACTTTCATTCATTCTTGTTGGGCTAAACATCCGTATATGGATATTACTAAGTACCTTCATGCCATAGCTTTCATTCATTGAAGACCAATGACAGTACACAAATGAAAATTGGCATAAAAATAGAAATAGTATTGAACGTTCCAATTAGTCCCGTCAGTGTCTTCAGATTTCTACAAGGCAATTCGGCTAGTGTCATGATGACACTATGAAAAATGTAAAATTTCCATTCATTCAAAATAATTAGTTTCATGTACAACATATCTCAGATTAGTGGTGCCCTATTTATTGGTAGTCCTGTTCATTCTATTTGTATATCAATTTGAAGACATGGTTGATAATTTTTGTTTGCAATATACTTATAATGCTGTGAAGTGTGTTGGTCTTGCTGACAACCCATTTTGTTTTCAATTTTCAGGTGGAAGCTGGAGATATTATTTTAAGAGTAAATGATGCTGATGTCAGCAGGTTGACAACCAAAGAAGGTGTGTATTTCAGAAAAATCTAGTTTGGTTCTCTCTTGCTGGTGTACATTTGTCCACGGCATTTTGCCCCCAATTAGATTTTACTTTTGACTGGAGATATTCAAGTTCTTCATGGAGTTTCTGTAGCTTTCCATGAATCTCCACCTCACACTGGGTTATTTTGGATAGCTGGTAGGTCAAGTCCTTGATTTGACACTCTGTTCTTAGTTTTTCAGTCTCCAAAGCATAGTCTTGTCCACAGGGTGGTGGAGGGCAACACGGTTGTGCACCTCTGTCCTGATCATGAACTCGTACAACTCCTCTATAAGTTGTTGTGGTCTCAGGATTGTTACATATACAAACTTGATTTGGAACATTTTCTCTCTCTCGAACCTTAAGTACTCCTTGATAAACAGATGGATTGTCAGGCTGGCAATAAGGTTGTAATTGGTTTGACTCAGAATACCTTGCACGCCCGTACTGGCTGCACGGTTCATTGCCAATAGATTCTTGACGTTGAAGCCAACAGTACTTTGCCTGTAAGCATGCAAGTTGTTGCCTCAAAGCCCTTGCCTGGCACCAATATGCATGGGCCAGTTGACCCAATTTTTCCAGCTCATTCCACTTGTCCACTAGAGCTTTCTGCATTGCACGAAGTGGTGGTTCTCGTGGGCGGCATTTATATGTGCTGCATGGGCAGTCTTGTACAAAGTTTTGGCAAGACATAATATTAGTCATGGATTGGTTACTGCTGCAATAGCATTGGTGTGTCTTCGGAGGCCAAGAGCAGCAACAAATTGGTGAAGGGCGAGGAGGTGGGTTACAACAACAGCGCATCATGTCTGGTTTGATGAGAAACAATATGATTTACCATCAGTAACAGAGTTTCTAATGTATTTTCATGAAAGCAAAATTTTCTTACCTTATCTTTTGAGATATATTTATCAGTAGCCTGAGACTCTTCCTTTAAAAATTTTTGTATCAAATATGTCTTAAATTATCATGGAAAGTAGGTGTGTTTTGATTCAACGGCATTCAAGTTCCAGTTTAGGTACATTCTTTCAAAAGCAAATAAACACAGAGCTACAGGTAAAGGATTGTTGGTGACAGCTTTCACCACCATGGCAACCCCAACCTGCATTGTTCTATTGTTCTACTGTGAGTCCAGTACTTGATATGTTGTGTGTTTTTAATTTAGTGTTTTTTCTCTTACCTCTGTTGCAGTGCTCAAGTGTCTGAGGCTTTCAAAAGATCCTGTTCTATTGACTTTAAAGCGGGGTTGGTTCCTGTTTCGCTTGTTTCATTCAAAATATCTTGTCTTTCACCAGTGTGGATTTGAAGCAGTAACATTTTGTTTTGCAGATCCTGTTTTAAAAGCAAAAGTATTGTGTCATATAACATCACCTCATGCTCAAGATGCTGATGATATGTGTGAGCTTATATCATCATCATCATCAACTTCCTCTTCATCAACATCATCTCCTTCCATTCGCAGTAGCAAGATACCTAGGCCAAAACATTCAGTGAAAAATAGTGCCATACCAACAAGGGTAACAATCATTGAATTTCCCAAAAAAATACTGCCTCTTTTAGAATTTTTAAAAAATATATGTGTCAATCTCAATTGTTCTAGACTGGTTCTTCAGTTGCAAGCCCGGTGCTCAAGGAACGCAATGGCAGTAGTTCTCGGAAAAGTGCAGTTTCATCTGAAAAAGGAAATGACAAAAACGAAGGTAATAAAAATAAGTGTTTTCATAACCTTGTTTTTACACTGGCGCTCTTGTATTTATTTTAACATATTCTTTTTCAGTTGTCTGGGAACCACTTGGAGGCCCTGTTGAGAAACCAGACAAATCAGGCCCACCCCGTTTTGAAGCATACATGATGACTGGTGATCTTATTTTAAATTTGTCTCGTACTCAGCAGTCATCAGTCCTTCCAAAGCATAACAAAAAGGTTGATAGCCTACTACTTCGACATCATCATAACCATCAAAACCATCAGCACCATAATTCTGTGCCAACATCGCCTAATGAAAGTGACATGGGAATTAAAGGTCACAAGCTAGGTAAAGCAATCTGGGTTGGGGTTGAGATTCAAAGAAATATTATGTTTGTAATACAGACCACTCACATGGATACTTACCCTTGTCTTACAGATTCTCCAACATGCAACTCCGCTGGTACTTCCCCTGTAGGTCCTAGTAAACATGAAATGTTCCAAGAACATGGTGGCACTTCATGTAGTTCAAGCAAACTGCTTCCTTACCACAATTCTGTTCGCACATCTCGCTCTGAAGACCAACTTCAGGTATTTTTAAAAAATGAAACGTTTTTATTTTATTTTTTAAGTTTTATATCACAACTAAATTGAAATTATTTTTTTCAGAAGGACTCATCTATTTCAACAGTTGACATAGATATTGATGAAGACGTCACTTCATCTCTGAACACATTACTAGATACAAAGCCTGACAGCACTCATAGTAGTGATTTAGAATGCTTGAGAAATAGAGTTGATAAGAGACTGGACAACACTATATTAAGTGGCAAAGTTTGCTCTAGTTTTGATAAGAGAGAAAGTTCTAATCTGATGGACAGTGATAAGTTAAAAGATTCTACTTACAACCACTCAAGATTAAATTCAAATGGAGACTTTGAAGAGCCATTTGATGGTGATGCGTTTCCCTCTAGTGAAAAGGCTGTGTGTGGACCAAGCTTTAATCCTCAGAGCCAAAGGCACATGAACAATGTAGAGAATTTCCCTAACCAGCAATCAGCAGGCTTGCTATCTGATTATAATGATGACAGTGGTGGCAATGATTATTTTGAGCCACAGAAAAACAAAACAGATAGTGTCAGTTCCTCAGGACGATTTCCTTCAGACCTTGTACAGACACATGGAGATAGAATTGTGTGGACATACAATGCACCTGTAAGAATCTTACTTTGTATCAGTTAGTACTCTTATGCATCAGCTTTATTCATAAACCAAGCTCAAAACCCATTATAATTTCAGCACTGGTGGATACGGCTGCATGGTGATCGCTTGCCTCGGAGTATTGAAGAGATTGAGCAGTGTCAACGCCAGGTAGGGCATCTGCCGTGTTTCACTTCTAGCTCTTGTTCTCTTCGGATTGTTAGCATGCTGGAAATTGTAGAGCTGTAGATGTAATACTCTTGCTATCTCTGCCTTCTTAAGAACTGCTTTGTACCTTCAGAAATGCTAAAAAATTATTATTTTACAATTAACATAAGTGTCTAGTTTTTGTGTTGAAGTAGTATAAATTTCATTCTCTTTCACATTTTTACCAATACTTCAAAGAAATTCAAATTCAAAGAATTTTTCTTGGAGAGCTGTGGTTTGTTGAATGTTGCACCTTTCGCCATATGCTTGCCAACCAAAATTCCTCCATTGATTTAATTCCTATGAATCATGCAGATGTCTTCCTCCTCATCTGGAGGGTCTGATAGTACTCGAGATGGTGTGGAATCCCCAACGTCAATATCATCGTCTGTCATGTCAAGCAACTCGAGCAATGTCAATCAACCTGCTATTAATCCTCTCCCTCAGCGCAATGGCGATTTAAGCCAGTCTGAAGGTGTCTCCAACATCTCTAGCCCAGATTTCCAGGTACACAATTGTGCAGTTCTGTTTGTTTTTCCTTTCATGAACCATTTTAAGAAATATTTACTGTAGCATTCTCCTTTCGTTTTGTATTGAAAATTTGATTTTTACTTTTCTATGTTGTAGTAGAAATTTTTTTAATGCTAGGCCTCAGCAGGATTCTAGCTTTATTATTATTAAAATGGAAATAGGCTGCCATATCCTTAGTATCGGAGTAGGTAGCTGTTTGGGCTTACAAGCCTGACAAAGTAATGCCTCACAAATTTCCCTTGGACTCTTAATTGGTTCAAATTTGTACTGTCTGAAGAATTCACTTTAGAGCCTTAGTGCTTAAGTTATGGGTTTCTTTGGAGCTTCCTCTGTGGTACTCTTAATTTCCTTATAATATCTTCTTATTTGTAGTTTCAGTTATCAACTTTAAGATAAACATCTGAGACTTCCAAACTTTTTTACTTATTGAAAACTGTAGTTAAACTTTGTGCCAATGAATTGCTATACTTGTGCATGTTATTCTTTTAATGTGTTTTTGCATGCTGACCTTTTTCTTTTTTTTTTGCTTTGAGCACTTGAATATGGTTGGCTTGAGACTGGTGTTTGTTCTGTGTAAGGAGGAGGAGACGCTGGACATCCTTTCTGCAAGAGATCTGCTAATGGAGGGCAGTGATCCGAGTGATAGTGACTCCACTCTCATGGCCAGCATTCCTCGTGATCCTGAATCAACTGTAAGTGTTTGTAGGCCCCAAAAGTGTTATCTTGCTAAAATCAAAGTTCACTTGTTCTTTTTAGACATTCAACATTAATGTTAATTTTACAGCATCGAATTGTTATTGAAGTCAAGGGTCCAGATAAAGATGGCAGTGACAGTCCGCTGCGGAAAAACAAGCGTCCAAACAACCAGGTGTATCAGGTAGCCATCATAGAAATAAACTGGTAGTTGTAATGAAAGCTAAAATCTTCTCTCATTAATTCCAACATTATATTATCTAGGAGCTCCATGAAAATGAAGAAGGGTCTCCTTTATCTGGTTCAGAGGATGAAAGCGACATTGAGTCCCTACATAGTTACCATTACAGTCCCAAAGGGGTTGATCTCCCATCAGCTATCCGCCTTGCAAAGCGGTTATATTTGTTAGATGGATTTAAAAAGTCTGATATATCCAAGCACTTGAGTAAAAAGTGAGTATCTTTATAATAAGCTTATGCGAATAGTGCTGTGTAATCCAAGTGGTGTATTCTCTTTACAGTAATGATTTTAGTCGAGCTGTGGCAGATGAGTACCTGAAACACTTTGAATTCAGTGGAGAAACACTAGACATTGCATTGCGCAAGTTTTTAAGACAATTCAGCTTAACAGGTGAAACTCAGGAGAGAGAACGTGTCCTTGTGCACTTTTCGAAGCGATACTTGGACTGCAATCCTGGATCATTCAACTCTCAAGGTATGATTTATTTCTGTTAATTTTTTGATCTCTTTTAAATGTTTGGTAACTCCCCTGTATTTCAATCACCTATGTCAAATTCATCACAACTCTTTATTTCCTAGATGCCGTGCATACATTAACCTGTGCAATAATGCTGCTAAACACCGATCTTCATACACAAAATGTTGGTCGGAAAATGTCTTGTGTGGAATTTATTGACAATCTTGCTGAGCTAAATGATGGAGACAATTTCCCAAGGGATGTACTTAAACAGTTGTATCAAGCTATCAAGGTGTACCCCTTGGAGTGGGCTCTGTAAGTATCTGGAGTGACGTGTGAAGTCAACGTAAAGCTGGTACGACTCCCTCTTTTATGGTTTCGCTTCCTTTCCGTTCTAGTGATGGTGAAGGTGAGGAATGTGTCGGTGATATGCAAGGCAAGCAGCAACTGCAGCAACAAGTGCCGACACAGAGAGGCCAGCAAGCTGGACTGGGTGGATTCAGCAATCTTGGCATGAATCCTTTCCTCCCTGTACCGGACGCTGCTGCCGCCATTGAGTACAAAAAGGGATATGTCATGCGGAAATGTTGTGTTGATGCCAATGGAAAAAGAAGTAAGCACAGCACTGTTCTTGATTATTTTTCCTGCCTTACAACATCCTTTTTGGATTTGTGGGTGAATTTCTTCATTTCAGTTTTTTGGACAGGGCCTACAAATTTTTAAATAATCTTAAAATGAAGTAACCATCTAAGAGATGATACTCTATATGCAATAGTTACTTCCATATCAAATTGCTTTATTATATTTTACTAGCACTCAATATACTTTTGTTCCATAATCATCATCTTTTTTTAAAAAAAAATTTTTTTTGATTTGCACATTATTCTAACTCTGTTTGTCCATACCACAGCGCCATTTGGTAAGCGTGGTTGGCGCATGTATTGTTGCACGCTCCGGGACTTGGTTCTGTACCTGCACAAGGATGAGCACGGCTTTCGCAAGAATCAACTCTCGGACAACCTGCACAATGCTATTCGCATTCACCATGCCCTTGCAACAAAGGCCATTGACTATACCAAGAAGCAGCATGTTTTTCGCCTTCAAACAGCAGATCAGGCTGAGTACTTATTTCAAACCAGGTGCGTAATAATCATCATTAACTTTCTCAGTCTTTACCAGAACCTATGGATTGAGTTATCTTGGGTGCAATAGATTTCAAAAAAAGAAAACTATTGTCATTTTAGTTTTGTGGGAAGGCCATAAATTCTTGGCTGTGAAATGAATCTTAATGAATTATTTTAATTTACAGTGACTCAAAGGAATTACAGTCATGGATAGATACAATAAACTTTGTATGTGCTTCATTCTCATCACAACCATTGGCAAGTGCTGTTGGTTCTCAGAAGAAATTTCAACGTCCTCTTTTGCCATGCAGTCACACTAAACTTAACCTGGTAAATTCCTTACCCATTTACAATACCAATTATCATCACCAATACCTAATCAATTCGTGTTACTCATTCTATCTTATTTTCTAGCGAGAACAATTGAGAGATCATGAAGAGCGTGTAGTGAGGCTGGAGGCTGAACTAGAAGACATGAGGAAAAGTGAGAAAGATAAAAGTAACAAGTCCCTTAATTCACACAGCCACAGAGAGAGAGACATGTTTTTGACACATGAAGTGAGTTGTTGCATTTTATTCCCCTCCTACCATCTAATTTACTTGTTACTTAATGGATTTTGTTTTCTGGCCTGATTTACAGCTAAAGCGTTACAAGACTTATGCTTACCTTCTACGTTCACGAATGTCACAATATCCAGAGCTAGTTGAACCACTTATGGAAGACAGCCGTTTTTCTGAGGCAATCACGGAAGAAGAGACTCCGTGTTCACCTCCAAGCAACAGGTACAGTTATCGGGCCGCAATCTACAATTCATCCCTGGCTGGATCTGGCCGCAGTGGTGTGGACAGCTATGCTGCAGAACTTGGCTGACGTATGCTTGGGGTGTTTTCGGCATGCGTCTTATGAAAACTGTCTTATCTGCATGCCTATTGGTGTTGGCTGTTTTCCCCAACCCCACCCCTTTGCCGATTCATTTTTCAAGTGTGATATATCAACCTAACCTAAATCTTGATACGCAAAGGCCCCCTTGAGCCTGTGAGAAAAGGTGTGCCGCTCATTTCTCCCCCTCTCTCAGTTTTAAGTACAATTTTGTCATTAGTGAATTGAAGAAGAAAACTTGTGCCAGTCACCTTGTGATTTTTTAAAAAAAGAATAGTGTAGTGGAACAAATCTCAGCACGCATGATTTGGTGAATGAATGCAGTGCCGGTGTGCCAATAGTCAGTTGAGTTCTTGCCTTTTAGGTGAAGCCATTTGAGTAGAAATCAATGAATTCCAATGTTTTTCACATCTTGCCATGTATGTTAAGTTTGAGACACTCATTAAAGCTACTTTTAGGTTTTCAGTCTTTCTGTAACTGAGTTTAATATTCAAGTGCAAATAGTTTTTGGCTATTGTGTACCTTTGAGATCTTAAATGTTGTCTCTGTAATCATATCAGAAACTATATTTTGGTATCTAATTACGACTTGCTGCACTACTTGCTTTTTCTCAGAAAGTTCCATTGAACAATTTTAAAAAATTATTAGTTAAATGTGTTCAGTGGGTTTTTCACTGAAAGTTTACAATGATAATTTGAGGCAATCAGTGAGGTTTTCTCCTTTTAGTGTTTGCGTGTAGATGAGTGTATGTGAGTGAGAATGAGGGCAAGGGTTTACGTGTATGTGTGTGTTATCTTGTTTTGCTTGTTGTTTTTAGTGACACTTTGTTACTGAGCAAAAGTATTTCTCTTGCTCTTCTTTTGTTGTTTTAGAGATACTTTCTTTTATTTGTAGTTTTTGGGTATGGAATCTAATACTAGTTTATTCAAACAAAATTGCCTTGGCTTTAAATGTGCACTCATGATTTTCCTCATTGTTATTTACCTGAGATGTTCTTATGAAGCTGTTTGAAAAATCAAAGACACCGCTTTCTGAAATATCCTCATAGTTAAAGATGGATTCTTATTTCATTTCAATTTTAATAAAGATCTGGCTGTGAGTTTTATATCTAAATAGTGTTGATGGAAACAAAATAAATATAAAATTTTGGAAATTTTCCTGTTTTTTTGTTGTTTTAGAGATACTTTCTTTTATTTGAAAGTTTTTTCCTAATCTAAATACTAGTTTATTTAACCGAAATTGCCTTCGAATCTAAATGTGCACCTTTTTCCCATTTTATTTCCGAGAGGGGTCCCCTTAGAAGCTGTTTGAAAAAAAAGGGACAAACGCTAAAATCTGAAATTTCCTTTTTCATGCGTTAAAGCTGACATTCTTTTGCAGGTTAATTTTAAGGGAAAGGATAATGGCTGTGAAATTAATATCTTAATAGTGTTGATGGAAACAAAATAAACGACGAAAACGCGGGGAAAAATTTTTCCTGGACTTCATTACGAGTGTGAGTTTTGATATGGGGTGCGACTTAATTCGATCAAATTTTTTTCACTTTTCCTCCGAAAATGGGCCCTTGTTTGATTGGTTGTTTAAATTTAATTCTTGATTTCTGTTTAAACATGTGCTCTTGCCTAAGTAGTAGCAATATCTTTGTTCAATGAAGTTTTTAAAAAAAGGATGCCCAAGTGCCATGAACACACTCGAGAATAGGTAGTAGAAAAGATTAATTGTTCAGTGCCTCATCTGTTTCAATATGATGCAAAAGGAGGAGCAACATCTCAGCTGCACCTATTTACTATACCACAGCCTCATTCGTACAACAAAGTACGTAATTTGAAGTGAAACTTTTGCCTTTTGACAAAAACCTTCAAATTTAATTCAAGGCAGCTGTATTTTTTTGTTAAGTGTTATCTTCATTGTCTGTTCTACTACATTTTCAGAAATGTTTTGTAGTGCATTGTTCTAGTCAACTGAAGATATTCACACTTGTGCATGCATTTCCAAGAAAGTAGTTTGTGTCCTAGAAATAAGAATATAATACGTTATGGATAAAACCAGTGCCTGTTGTTTTATCTCCATATATTAATTGTATCTGTAATTTGTCTTATCTCTCTATTTATCTTCCCTTTTGCATGGGCTTTGGATAAAAATTAATCCAAATAATGCATGTTTAAAAATGTCACTACTAGCATGTGCAAATATTTGACAGTGATTGACAACACACTGTAACAATCGACATTTAATCTTTAAGTAAGGTGCTAGATTTATATTCACTGTTATCTTACCTGAGCCCAAGCCTATCTCATATGCCAGTGGGCTTAGAGGTCAGTGTGAATACAAAGAGTTTAGTTTGAGGGACAAAAAACAAAAGCAAAAAAGACTTATTCCAAAATTGTGAGCATTCTCATTTGTAACTGTTACTGGACCATGTGGTGATTGGACTGAGCATTATTTCCTTGATAGCATCTAAGTACACATTATTTTCAACATATTCATTAGTGGTGCTTGAAATTTATAACTGTAGCTTCAAAAATATGAAGTTTTTTGAATTAATTAGTCCTCCTGTTGCACGCTATACAAATCAACTTATTTTTAAAAGTAACTTATTGGTAAGACATTGTTTGAAATTTGTTATCTTCACCTCAAAAGCTTGAGGTGATGATTTTACAAACTGTGGAAATTTTGTGGGTCTAAGTACAGTGCTTGTAGTGTAGGACCTACTCTAATATTCATTTATGCTCAACAATTGTAGGTACATGATTTGCATCTAGTGCATGCCTGCATTTGGGTCAAGTGTTGTGGGAATGGGAAACATCTTCTGATAATCTTTTTTTTTCCTTTTTCCCCTTTTGAACAGTTTGATCATATACTAGATCATTGCCTTTTGGGATCTTGACTGCTCTTTGTGTTAGATTCTGTTTTGTCTTCTTTAGAATCAAAAAATGAAGTAACATTAGTATTGTTTTCTTGCATTTAAACTCTTACTTTAATCAACTAAATAACGTGTTGTTACTGATAAACTTTTGATAATTTACTTCAAATTTAGCTCTTTTTTTGCATACTTCATGTGGAGCCATGAATTCAAATTACTCGAACTGTAGATCTAGAGTAGATCAATCTCAAAATACAATTCTAGTCACCTTAACTGTCTATGGTATCCTCTTATCTTTATTTCTTATGCATGTCACATTATCCTGATTGATTGTTGAAATCCTCTGCAATAATTTGTACTGTGGCTTCTTCTGAAATGGGTTGTGAACAAGAGCACTTGCCCTCCTGCACTCAGTGTCTTCCTCCTTATGTCCAAAAATATCAAAAGAGAACTTGTACTAAATAATTCCTTGCATTTATTTTTGATGGTTGGGAGTAAACATCTAGCATGACTTCCGATTGTTTTCAGCTGCTGGTACCTTGTCTACCTGCACCAAAATCATGTGTAGTGTAGATCCCTGAAAGCCTGTTATAGAAAGCAATAAGTGAATGTTGTTTGTGCATGCAGGCAGTAACCCCGTGGCAGTTCTGCAGTCTTCCGAACCATCTTGCCTTGCCGGTGAGGGCCTCGTGCAATATCCACTTTAATGAGCAACAACTCTTCTTGCTTGTCTTTTACAATATTTGTAAGATTTGAGTCAATTCTTGCTCTGGCTTCTAGTCAATATGTTCAGGACTATGCAGTTAGCATGCATATTTTGATTTTGAGTATTATTTTTTTCTGAAGAGGAACCTGTTTGTGCATTCGAAGCCATGTCCGGCTGAGTAGGCTAAAATGTGAATGATTGTTTTTTTCAAGACTTTTAATTTTTATTCCTAATTTTTAAGTCTGATGCAAATGAAAATAATCCCACTCCGGTGCTAAATTTTGTAGTATTATGAAAAGCTATGCTTAGAGCTAGTCTAAGAGTTTTTTTTTAAGATCTACAAGCTCAATGAGCTGTTATTTCATGTATGTTTATTATGTTATAAATATGTGTATTTGTGTAACCATGATGAGACACAGAAAAAAGATTTGGATGGCAAGAACTATAAAGTTGATTCTAAGCCAAATTCACTATGGCACAGTGTATAAACCTCCTTGCATATTGTTATCATTTTAAAAATCAAACTTTTTATTAATATGGTGAATTACGTGTTGATGTTTTACCTGTCTTTTTTTTGTTGTAAAGTGAGTTTTCCTACTTCTTGGTTTTATTGTAACTTTTGATTGTTCTACTGTTAACCCATTGCTTTGTTCTGTAGTCTAGTTTTCTCATCTTTGATTTTGAATTGCTGTCTGTAAAGTTATGAAATTTTAACATTTACTAACTTGGCAGCTGGCTAGCGTTGTTTTATTTACTTAGGGTGTAATGTGGTTAAGTTTGCTTGGATGGTTGCAGTTTAATAAATTTGATCATTTTCATCCATAGGTGAATTTTTTTTAATGATAGTGAGAGCTACAGCAATATTGAATTTCTAAATGCTTGCTTCCACAGATGATTTGCTCACCTTTGCTCACTAAAATTGCTTGTGAACCTTGTATTGTAAAGCCTGAACTGCATTTATGCTCTCTGTGGTGCTGTACACAATCATCTTTTGTTAAGACAACTTGCTGTTCAAGTTGTGTGAGTATGGTTAATGAAAAATGTTCTGTGTGTCCTCTGTGATTTCTCATCTCAATCAATTGAATTGTACATTTTATTTTGCATTTTTGTTGTCGTTGTTCTATTTTAGATTTTGAGGTAGAACTGATACTTCCCACTCTACTTGTAATACATTATTTTGCCCAAACTGATAGTCTCATTCGCAATATTATTTCTACCATTCCCGCATCATTCCATGTATCCTAATATTCAGATTTCTGGATGCAAGCAGTTTGCCTCAAGCAAAGTGATGGGTTCAACTTTGAATTTAGAATAAATTTGTCACTAACTGAGGCAATGTTACACGCTACATGCAAATAAGTGGGATCAATGTATTATTGTACTGCTCTTTTAGTTTAGCACCATTAAATTATTGTTTTTGCCATGTGATTATGGATGCTCTTATTCAGAGTAGTCATTGCACCTCTATTGCAGCATACTGATGTTTAATTGTTTAAGAATGGTTACAGAGTTGTAAAAATATAAATAGTGAAGCAACTTATTTAGATATGTTTCTGTTACTCAGTCTCTAATAATGTGATGGATACCTAAGACTGTGCTTATGTTATGAAGCATTGATGGTTTGGATGTCACACAAAGGGGAGCAAGATCACACTGATAAAAGTTAAATATTAATTCATAAATTTGTTGATGTCTGTTGTCATGTTGAAATGGTTGTTTACAGCTAGTACCGTTTGAATCGCTTGAGGTTATTTGTGCTGGTTCACAAAGTGAGCAGCTCCAGTCTTTGTGATCTGTTGAAATTTTGTGAGTGTTGTGTCCCCCGTTAGGGGGGAGCGACATTGTATGTACATGTATCGTCAGTCTTATTCCCTGCTGGTGCCGATCAACTCCATATTTATTCGGAATAAAGATGTTTGAGCCATTATACTCCGCGTTGATTTGCTTTTGATCAACCCTCTCAACCACGGCAATCTTTTAGCGGTGTGTCGGCCGCCCGGAAGCGCACTGCCAACGCCGTACACTACCCGGCAGGACCGCCTTGTGACTTGTGACAATTGATTGTCGCCGAGTGTGGCGAGTTGGCGACTGCCTCGCGGCGCGCCGTCTGTCACCGTCACCCGTCGAGAGAGAGAGAGAGCGCCGCCATTCGCCAAGCCATTCGCCCCGGCATTGTCTGCAGGCTGATTCCGAGAGTCGTTTTCGTCGCTCTGTCTCTCTCGCACCTACACGGGGCGCCCCATGAGTGCGAGAGAGACGGAGCGACGAAATCGACTCTCGGAATCAGCCTGCTGTCTCCGTCACACCCACCCGGTGACCGGGCTCAGTCAAGGAACGACAGTGACGACCTCCATAAAGAAAGCAATCAACAGTTCACGGAAGTTTGAAAAATCAATTTTATAAACAACTGGACCCGACGCGGTACGAACGACATTGGACAGTGAATTATTTGCGGACAATATTCCACACGGGACGCGACAGCTGCGCCATCACCGCCGCAGGATGCAGGCAGACCGGGGCGGGCCGCCATGCCGCCACACTGACGTGACGGTCAAGTGCATCCGCCTCGAGAGCAAAGTGCCGCCCGTGCGCTTCATGCAGTCGCAGTGTGTCCGACAGAAACAAAACAATGCAGTTGTCGTCTGCGCGCACAATATTATCAATGGAAACAAGAACACACACACATACACACACACGCGATTGCCGCTGATTATCGTGATTTGGTTTGAGCGAAATTACGGCCACTTGAACAGGCGCTCACACATTACAATGAGCGTGAATACACTCGCGCCTCCCAGCAGACTGATTCCGAGAGTCGTTTTCGTCGCCCTGTCTCTCTCGAACTCGTCGGGCATCCCGTACAGGTGCGAGAGAGACAGGGCGACGATAACGACTCTCGGAATGAGTCTGCAGGACCCAGGACGTCAGGACGACCTTGCCAAGGCCGGCACTTTGGCGCGCTCCGCGTGGCTCCGCGCTCGTCCGTCTCATCTGGCCGGTCGGGTATTTGAGTGGGCGCCGCGGTAGGTCGGGGTGCTGTCGAGTGCGGACGGTGGTGCTGAACGGGTGGCCGCCAACAACGCCGTCGACGCCAACCAGACCCGCAGGACGCAGGACGCTTCCAGTCCGAGCGGACTTCCCTCTTGGCACCGAGCCTCCCGCTCGACAACCAGACCAGGGCGCTAGAGCTTGCTAGAGCTCCCGCGCTCGAGGGACTTCCCCGCGTGCGCGACCCTTCACGCCCGGAGTATCGACGCTAGTGCGAGGCGCTGAAGCCGAAGCCGACCCCACGCAAGTAGGCAACTCGGCCGCGCACGCGCCCGGGTCGAAAGGGCTGCCTGCCTCCTGCTGCCTCAGCCTGGCGTGGCACAATGGGCCAGAAGCCGGTGGAGGCGGCCAAAACTCTCGACGCGTTTTGGGCTCCAGAGTCGCTAAATGGGACTCGAACCGAACGTGTGACCCCACTATTGGATTGCTCTCCGAACGAGGAATCCTCTGGTCGGGTCACACGTTCGTTTCGAGGCCTGTTTAGCGACTCTGGAGCCCAAAACGCGTCGAGAGTTTTGGCCGCCTCCACCGGTCTTCTGGCCCACTATGCGTGGGGTGGGGGTAGGCAACCCTTCTGCCAGCCAGCGAGAGTCAAACGGTTCTTTCTCCGCAGCCGCTCGCAGCCGCCGCCAGCCATGAAGGCGTCGGCGTGGACGACGTGGGCCTTGGTGCTGGCCGTGCTGCTCTGCGGCCCCGCGCGCGACATGGCAGTCTCCGCCGTCCCCGTGCCCAACCCGGACCCGGCCATCGTGAGTGCAATCTTTACAGCGTGCCCGCGCGCGGAATGCGGAGCGTCTGGCGCGTCGTCTGCCGAGCCATTCAGAAGATCGCTTTGTCGCTCTGTCTCTCTCGCACCCTTACGGAGAGCCCCATGAGTGCGAGAGAGACGGAGCGATAGGCTGCTGTCGATTGTAACCGATTCGTGACATTGCAGCGATCCAAGCGATACGTGGTGACCGTTCCCGCCGCAGCAGTCAACTTGACCGGGGTGAGTCTGCGGACCGCAGAACCGTCCCGTTGGAGCTGACACGAAAGGCGACTCTCTTTGTGACTTTGTTTTCACAGTGGGTGCCCCAGGTGGTGCCGCTCGGCCAGGCCCTCCTCAGCTCCAGGCCGTACATCATCGGCTGAGTCGGGGTTTCGTCGCAACGGAGGCCATCTTAATCTTAATCGTTAACTTTATTATTACAAACTATTTAAAAATGTTAAATTATTTATACAAATAAAAAATGTTGTGGCAGTTGGATCGGGGTTCGTTGTTCTCCCCTCAACCATATAGCGTACACAGACGACATGACACACTCACACACACGCACACTCACACACACACACGCTTAAGTAATTACTCCACTCCCAACACTGTCAAGATCACAGCACTTATGAATAAAGAAGGCCCACGCGTAAATTAAGTAAGAGGTCCAGTCGAGCGCGGTTTGTCGCTCTGTCTCTCTCGCACCCTCACGGAGGGCTCCACGAGTGCGACGGAGACAGAGCGACGAACGATTCTTCTGCTGGCGATGGCTCGACCGGCCCTGCAGACTGATTCCGAGAGTCGTTTCCGACGCCCTGTCTCTCTCGCCCCCTATGGGCGTTCCGTAAAGGTGCGAGAGAGACAGGGCGACGAAAAGGACTCTCGGGAATCAGTGCGCAGGGCTCTGCGAGACGAGGTGACTAGGGAGACCTGAGGGGGAGGCAGTGAGACAGTGTGCCGGCCTAGTCACTGTGCGGCCTGCCCTGGGGGTCCACGTCGCCGGGGGCGGCGGCCGGCAGCAGGGGCTGGCTGGGCTGGCTCATGAGGGACTCGTCGGGCTCGTCCAGGCTGACTGGCACGCCGCGGGGCCGCAGCTCGCTGGCAGGGCTGGGGCTCTTCTTGGGGTAGTCGGACGACAGCGACAGCGGCAGGGTGTTGCGGTTGTGGTAGCCGTTGCTCTTGAGGTCGCGCATCTCCTGCGCCAGGTCCCTGCGAGAGAGCGAGAGTTACACGCCGCTCCGCCCCCTCGCAACCCAACCTCGGAGAGCGAGAGAGACAGAGCGACGAAAGCACACAGACTCCAGGGAAACACGCACCTGAAGAGCATGTTCTTGGCGCTCTGGTGCATGTTCTTGCAGAGGTACAGCAGGAACAGCCAGTGGGAGAACTCGCAGCGGCTGATGACAATCTCGAAGTCCTCGGGGTTCAGGCGGTTGTCGTAGTCGAACAGCAACTGCAAGAGTGAGCGGGAGCCTCCTAGTTAACGACACTGCGTCTCCAAATAAAGCTCGGGCCGGAAGTTGATGGCCCTCTAGCAGTGGCGCGAACGGCGCGAAGGGCCACGCCGCCTACCTGGTTGAAGCGCGGCGACCGGTGGTGCAGCAGCAGGGTGAGCACGCGCCAGAGCAGCCCGCCGGCCGTGAGCACGGCCAGGATGGCGAACCAGAACCACAGGAACGTGTAGATCTTCTCGTTGATGATGTTGAGCGCCATGATGCAGAGCGCGTCGTGCGTCTGGATGGTGCCACTGGCACCGTACTTCATGAAGGCGCACTTGGTCACCTGCAGACGGAGGACGGACACTGTGAGACGCTGCAGATTCCGAGAGTCGTTTGCGTCGCTCTGTCTCCCCCGCGCTCATGGGTGCGAGAGAGACAGATCGGCGAAAACGACTCTCGGAATCAGTCTACAGGGTCGGCGTCAAACGGGCACTGGAGCGCAGGCGCACCTTGGGGAACACGAGGTCCAGGCACTCGGTGTCCGCTGGCTGCTGGTTGACGACGGCGGGGCCCAGGCCCAGGAACTTGCCGCCCAGGAAGGCGTCAGTCATGAGCACCTGCAGGATGAGGTTGAGGGCGTTGAGGACCTCGCAGCCGATCAGCCAGTGGCCCCACCATTGGTTCAGCTTCAGCCGGTTCATGAAGGTTGTCCGCACCACGTTCACCTGTGGAGGGTTCAAACGCCCACTGCCGGTTGAAAACAGAAACAAACAAACAAACAAGAACAAACAACAACAACGAGTCTGACCTTGGCCATGTACTTGCTCTTGGACGGCGCCTTGCCGACGTCTCGGTCCGCGATGGCCAGGTAGCCGAACTGCAGGCCCTCCACCAGCACCTTGATGGTGCCGCCCTCGACGACGCGCCACACCAGGTGGGGCAGGTAGAACATGATGGCCTGGCCGAAGAGCACGAAGGGCACCCACTGGTAGTAGGCGTGGTGCACCACGGACTCGCTGGCCAGCTCGGCGCGCCCCATGGGGCCCACGCCGGGGTGCGGCACCTGTGCAGCGCGCAGCACGTTCGGACATCACTCGGGGGCGGGACTTTGGCGCTTTTCGACCGCACAGTGGGCCAGAAGACCGGTGGCTTGACGCGTTTCGAGCTCCAGAGTCGCTAAACAGGACTCGAACCGAACGTGTAACCCCACCAATGGATTCCTCGTTCGGAGAGCAATCCATTGGTAGGGTCACACGTTTGGTTCGAGTCCCATTTCATTTAGCGACGCTGGAGCTCAAAACGCGTCTGGAATTTTGGCCGCCTCCACCGATCTTCTCGGGTCTTCTGGACCATCGTGCATAGCGTCGTGAGAATGTTCGCCTACTTGGGCAGCACTTCCTCCCGTTTCGAATAACGGTGTACGAGGGCGCGCCATCGCTGACCTGGGTGTCATTGTTGAACCTGGGGATGGTGAAGGTCGTCGTGAAGAAGCAGAAGGTGTTGATGACGTTGTTGGGCACCGTGTCGCTGATGCAGCGGATGTGCTCCCCGATGTACTGCCGACTCGACACCAGGATGGTGGCCGTCTGGAACACGCCGTGCACACCGAATAGTTGTCTCACTGTCCGCTAGGCCCTTCCCGCGCAGTTACGTAATAAATGTAGACTTTCAGGGAACCGCCAATCCCCTTCGCGCAGCTGTGGCGGCCCGCCCGGCCTGCCGGCCACATGCTTTGACGTCTGTCGCTGTGAGTCACGCCCCAGGACGAACCCACCCGAATGGCGGGCCTTCCCTGCTACTGCTTCTGGGCAGTGAAGGGGAGAGACAGACAGTGACAGTCTCCGTCGTTTGCCGCCTGCAAAGTACAGGGTAGGCCAGCCCGCCGCGCCTCCGTGTACGCCGGGCTGGCCTACCCTCACTCTTGCAGGCGCTACCGCCGGCGAGGTAGGCCCCGCCCCCCCGTGCGCCGGCGCTCCCTCACTCTGGCAGGCAGCTACGCCGGCGAGAGTAGGCCTGCCCGCCGCGCCTCCGTGTACGCCGGGCTGGCCTACCCTCACTCTGGCAGGCGCTACGCCGCGAGGTAGGCCAGCCCGCCGCGCCTCCGTGTACGCCGGGCTGGCCTACCCTCACTCTGGCAGGCGCTACCGCCGGCGAGGTAGGCCTGCCCGCCGCGCCTCCGTGTACGCCGGGCTGGCCTACCCTCACTCTGGCAGGCGCTACCGCCGGCGAGGTAGGCCTGCCCGCCGCGCCTCCGTGTACGCCGGGCTGCCTACCCTCACTCTGGCAGGCGCTACCGCCGGCGGTAGGACTCTGCGCCGCCACGCCTTCGTGACGCGTTGGCCAGGACACTCTGGCCGCGTCGCCGACTGCACTGAGCTCGTCAGGCCACCGTGTTATATTTTTTCGTCGATCTTCGCCGCGTGCGTTCGCTCGCCACGAACCGCTTCGCATGCTGTGCGCCATGCGCTCGGCCTTCGGACGCTGGCCAGCGACACACGCGTCTCGGCCGAGACGGCCCTGGTCTCGGCCATGAATGACGCCATAGCGCGCGCGCGTCGAGAGTCGCCGAGAAGGCCGCGAAACCGCACGCGTCTCGGCGCGAGACGGCGCGCTGGAGTCGCGCGCGAGAGACCGCAGAGCGCGCGCGAGAGAGAGCGCGCGAGAGAGAGCGCGCGAGAGAGAGCGCGCGAGAGAGAGCGCGAGAGAGAGAGCGCGCGAGAGCGCGTGCGTCGACTCACCAGCAGGGCCCAAAAGGTGAGGCGGTAGTGGAGGCGGAAGATGACATTGTCGATGCTGAAAGGCTTCCACACTTGTCTGCCGATCTGCTTCTGCACGTCCTCGAACGCCTTGAGCATGGCGGCGGCGGGGTGCCCGGGGCGGGCGACTGTCGGCCCAAAACTGCCACGCACGGGACGGTGGCCAGCCCGGGCCCGAGCTAGGCGGCTAGGTGAGCGGTGGGGCTCCGCACTACTTGACGACTGGGAGACGGAGACCAAGGCGAAGACGAAGACGCGCAGACCTGCAGAGCTGCGCCAAGCTGCGCTATCGGGGCCGCCGTGCCCCGCCAGCCCCGCCGTGCCGCGACTCTTATCAATGTCTCCCCGAGCTTCCCCGCCCCGCCCCGCCCCCGGGCCGCGGCCGGGCCCCCGATGGGGCACAAAGTGCGGAGGCACGCGGCACACTCCGCGGCCCCCGCCGCGGACTCGCGGGGCGCCACCGCTTTCGTCGCGCCGTCTCTCTCGCACCCCTGCGCAACGGCCCCCTGGTGCGAGAGAGACAGAGCGGCAGCCCGGTCGCGGCTGTGGCCGCGCCACTGCCTCGCGGGTAGACTGGTAAGCCCTGAGCCGCCGCACCGCAAACTCCGAATCCGAACTCGCAGCGCCGCGATCACGATCTGCCGTTCTGGCCTGGTGTCGTTTTCGCGACTATCTCTCCAGTCTAGGGGAAGTCGGGCGAATGACTGACGCGAGGCAGTGATTGCGTGTGTTGATTTGTTTATTGTTACTTATTTTCATTACATTGGTGATGGCTTTCCTGCATACGCAGGTTTGTCTTAATGAATAATATTATGCGTCAGTCAGATGCATAATAGATCATTGGCTTGGAAGGCAAACTGGCATGCGTAAAATCACAAAATATCAATGACTTGCATCACATGAGAGTCACTACTAACAAAAGTGATGTAGTAAATCTAAGACAACAGTTCCTTCATTTCATATGAACAGAACACAATGTAAACAGCACAAGTTCAAATACCTTTAGAAGTCTATTATTATTTTATCCTCATAATGAAAATTGGACAAGTGAGCAAGGGCATCACTCTTAATACTTTCATACAATTGTAGAAAGAAACTTTACAGTCTCAACATTTTATGCAAGTTTATCAGAACTTTTTATACAAATTAGCAACAAGTGGACAGGACAAAAAATTTAGACACAATTCAGATGATTGGTCGTTGATCACTAAAAGCTAGATTTAGCACCAAAAGCTAATGTTGCGTTTACAATTGTGTGAAATATTCAAAAACCAAAATGACATGAATGAGAAATGTGCAATCATCTCTCACCTTTTTCAGGAAATCTGCAAAGTGGGTTGCCCATAAATCTATACAAAGGAAGCTAAAATTCTATGGTAGAGAGTATTAAATGTCTATAAACGTCTAGAAAAATGTAAATAATAGGATAAAATTAAAGACAGCAAGAAAAATCAATAGGTAGCTAGGTGACTAGATCACCCTAGTTTATGTGTACTCTAACAATAAACAAAACCTTCCTTAAGCAAATGACAAAATATTATAATGTCACCAAGCTAAAACCACAGCAAGGTGCCAGCATAGGGCTGTTGCAAAGCTGCACACAAGCAATCAGTCAATTTAAAATTAATGACAATTTCACATAATATCACATAATAAAGATACACAAGCGCAGGACACATGTGTAGCAGTAAATGTCCGCTGTTGGGATGATAACATTATTTATCGACATCAGGTCTTGCTGGATTAGCAACTGTCATTTTACATCGACTTCACATTGTCAATTAAGTTCAGTACCCAGTATTCTGGATAGCTCGCTGGTGAAGGTCGGAATTCTCCAGACAGCATGGACATCAACTATTGCCACAGAACAACTAGGGTTTAAGTATACCTTATCTACATACCAGTAATCTAAATCAGCTACAGCAGAATCTAAAATTTTGTGAGACTACAAAAAAAAAAAAAAAAAAAAAAACTTGTTAAAGGCACAATTCTGTCCGCACAGGTCAGTATACAGCGCTTATAATTATTTCTAATTAGCAGGACATAGAGGAAAACCTCAATTTTGACTTCCTAAACGAGACATAAAAAAGTGAAAAACATCAAATACTTCCTAGTCACATCATGACACTTTTAAGAGTTAAGTTGAAATATTTACAAAGGTATTAACCTTTTAGAAGTACAAATTCATCACAAAAGAATTGCCATGGTGGACTCAGGCACCGGTACAAGTTGATTTGAAAGCTCGATCTAAAGCATGGTTTTGTGAGTTTTCTTAAATTTTCCTATCTTTTTAAGAATACATAGAAAAAAAGGTCAACATTGTATTGAGTTTATCCATAAGTACAACATCTTATCACTGGGAATGAAATACTCAAGACTTTCTTTGTAAGCCTGCATCATGAGGCTAGTCTCATACTTATTGCTCGTATGTTGGCAAGCAAACATAACTTATGTCGAAAGGTAAACTTCATGGTCACAAACATTGATCCAGGCAGTACATAAAAAAACTGAGAAAGATTTCCCTCGAAATAAGAAAACTTTCCATCAACAAGTACTATTAATGTTAAGAAAATATCAGTGGCAGTCCAAAAAAGACTTCCAAAATCCGATGAAAGGATGAGAAGCCTGACATAAGTCTTCTGGCCCCTGCAAGATCACAGTATGTGTGTAGAACATAATCAATTTTGAACTACTTGACGGCAGTTGGGGCAAGTTGTAGGTGCTGGAGCGGCCTGAATCAACATAGAACAATATCAATTAATACAGATCATTGCAAGCGCATAAGCAGTCTAATGTCCTAAATCTAATAACCTACCTCAAGCCACTTCTCGATACACCTAAAATGAAAATTGTGACCACACGCTAAAGTGCGCAGCTCAGACGGTTTGTACACAATTTCCTGGCAAATACTACAATCTTCCAGTTCATACCTGCGGAAGAAACAGAAAACAAACTCTGTTAAGTGTTCATCCTTCATGCACAAGAAACAGACACGAGCCCTGTCAGGCTAAGGAAAGTGCCGCAGTGGTTCGGGTCAACCCATCACTACAAAATGTGAGCAACCCATTGTTTATTTTTCATTTGAATACCTGCTGCCGCATCGCTGTCTCCTCGGTCTGGAACCCCCTCCGCTGGGGGCCGCGTAGCCGAGGGCCATCCGCTCCCTCTCTTCCCTAGCAGCAAAGTAGTAATACAGCAATGCTGCCAGCCCGACGCCAGCGGCGCAGAGGAGCATGAGCGGAGGGGAAGGCATGCTGAAGCGGCCAGAGCTTGGGCGCCCTCAGAGATCACAGAATAGCATCGGTAGAACTCCTCAAACTCTTGTTGCGCAGTAGACACTCAGGACACAGGCTTGGCCTCGGCTCGGCCGACGGCCACCCCGTCTAGGTCAGAGGTCGTCCTGCTCTCGCGCCCTCATGGGGGCTGCGGGCGGACGGAGTCACTGCCGGGGCGGTGCACTGCAAGGCGCGTTTCAGAAATCGAGAGCAATCCTTTTCATCGGATTTTCTGACAATATTCACCACCCACACCCACAACACCTCAAAGCACTAGGCCAAACGGGCCAAACTTTGGTCAGGGAAACCGGAACCTGGTTTGTTTGGGAAGGCGATAGAAGCAGTGCCAACGTAGTAAACCACAAAATGAGTCTCTCCATACCACTCAGGGTCATTGAGCGGGTAAAGCGACCTGTAATTAACAGAAATCTTTTTATTTTTATACAAAATTAGGATACTGATTGAACCGGCGATAAGATTCATGTAAAATAGAAGGGATGCTGTGTACGAGTTGGTTGGTACAACTGGGCAGGCCCCTAAAACCAAAACAAACTTCAAAAAGGCGCGGGCCTCCCAAAACATTAGCGCCTGCTACAAACGAAAACATCCGCCACGATCTCTGCTCGAGAGTGGGGGAAGCGCTGACGCGACTGACGTGTCAGGGAAGAAGACCAAGAGGAAAAACAAAACCGGTGTTGTCGTGTCCCGAGGCTTCTGCTTGCAGATTCTAGGTTCTATCTGTTCAACCTTCCGACGACGCGAGCCAGTGAGCGCAGCTTTGTGGCGTGAATAGAAGCTACCTCAAAAATGGAGAAGCTTGCCTGTTTCCTCGTCGTCCTCGCCTCCATCGCCGGCCTTTCCGCCGCGACCGCCGTTTGCTCCAGCCCGGAGGTGTCGGCGACGTCCTACACCTCTCCAGATGCCACCGTCCTAACCAGCATTGGCTTCGTGGCTGAGTTTACTCTCAAGTGCGGCAACGGTGTCCAGAACCCAGCCCTGTTCGCTGAACTGAATGGCAAGACCCAGCCTGTTGCCCGCATTGGCCCCAACAAGTACCAGGTGAGACTGAGAGCCCGCTCATTCTATGCAAGTCCGTTGAGTACCTCAGATTTTTTACGATAACTGTAGCCCCCCTGGCTGAGTACCACCAAACGCAAAGTTTTGCGACTGAAACAAGCACAGCCTACCTTGTCGGTGCATTTGTTAGCGAAACATTTTGCCCTCTTTCATCTATCTATGCACCCTTTTTCAGTGGTCAACCTCTTGTGACCATTGATTTGGCCGCATGATACTTAGTTGAGGCATTGTTCCATTCAGTCGTGTTCTATCATAGATTCCCGATCTACCAATCAAATTTTCCTTCATGAAGGATTCATATAATTATTGTACTGCTCATTGGGTACTCATTGGTTCCATCTTTTGCCGACAGGTGAGCTGGGCTGAAGATGTAAAGAAGGCTCGCCGTGGAGACTACACTATCAACGTCTACGATGAAGAGAACTTTGCTGCTGTGAGGAAAGCCATGAGGAACAACGAAGATATCTCCACTGTGAAGGCTCTTGCCACTGTTGTCTTAAATTACCCCGGCTCTTACCAGGGACCTTGGGTCAACTCTGAATTTATGGCCTTTGTCCTTTCCATTGGTGTCTGGTACACAGCTTTCTCTGCCAAGTCAAAACTGTTGGCTTAAGTACTAATTCGGTATTTGTTGTTTTTCTGTGAAAAATAACTGACTGATTTTTTTTTATAATTCACTATTTAATAAATTTTCTTGTTTTCTACATGACTTTTCCATTCATTTCCTAAAACCACTGCTTAACTGCTACAATCCACACCAAGAAATGTTGCTGAGGCTAGAACTCTTACCATTTTGTAGAATCAACGCTAAATCAACATAATTTGATCTTATTGACTATTGCACGCACAAGCAGAAAAATTTCCAAACCTCCGACTCTTTTTAGTAAAACACAACTCACCTTACACGGGGAAATCCTCAAGGAGGGAAATCCTCATCGCCACAGGAAAATAGGAATGACCAGAAGAGCAGGAGGCAATAAATCTCTGAAAGTAAACAATTCGCAATTTTTAAGAACCAGTTCTTTTTGGGTTGTCTCAAATTTCAAAACAACCCAACAACAAGTCTTCAGTATTCTAAGTTGGCACAGGAGGTTCATTTTGTACCGTTGTGGTGGTACTTCACGTCACTCGTTGGCTGACATTTGAAGGTTAGGGTTTTGTTGTCAAAGTGTCCAAATCGAAAGTGATTGTTTACATATCCAATAGAATTTAATTTTCTGTGCTCTCGTTGTTGATGAAGTTTGTTTAAGCAGTCCATCTGAGTCAAATGTCATTATGCCAGTCGAGTGTCATGAAATTGTGTTAATAGTTGTCTTCCTTAGATTATCTTCTGTAAGTTATTTGTTTGTATATTTTCAGTACATCTTTCGTGAATATTTCATACACAGATCTTATTTTTTATTTCTTAGTTATCTTAGAAAAACAAAACAATTTTTCGCACTAAAACATTCATTTTTACTGATTTTTCAAAATGAACAACCTCTAATATTCTCTTATGACAGGTGCACCCTCAGCATCTGTGATAATTTTGATTTGGGAGGCTTAATTTGTCTCTAGAGCACACAATGGAGCCTGAAACAAATTTGAGAGATGATCGGCCCACATCTTTAAATCTAGAGCAAGAAACGGTTAGACCCAACAAACCATTGGTTGCTCCTCGAGTATTGACTGGTCCTGCCAGTTCTTATAATCAGGGTGCAATAGACTGGTGAGCAATTTTTTGTCTCTTCATTTTTATATTTGAGTTATTAGACTTGATGCCTTTGCCGTAATTTGCATGTTGTTACATTTTAGGGGGAGGAATGGACTTCTAGCATATGGTTGTCAATATACAGTTGTTATTGTTGACACCAAAAATGTGCAGCCAATACAGTCCCTTGATAAACATAAATCCATGGTGAATAGAGTAAGTCAATCTGAATAAAAATTTTCTGGTGGAGATTTTTAATTTTCTACCATCACCTTAATTAACCAATGTAACTCACCAGGTGCTATGGGGTGCAGGCCGCCACAAAAAACTGGTTTCAAGCGATAGTAATGGACATATTGTGGTGTGGAATATCCCGTCTGGGAAAAGTAAATTTGTTCTTCAAGACAGCAAGAGTCCAGCAACATGTAAGTGCTTTGATTATCGGGTAGGATCAATATTTTTCTTATGAATTCTTCCACTAACTTGTTTCGACATCCTAGGTATGGCATGGTTAACAGGATATGACGAGGGAAATCACTTGCTATTGACATTGCATCCTCCATATGCCCTTGTTTTGTGGGATACCCTTTCCGGAACCAAACTTTGGAAGAAGACTTACACCGAATCCTTGGTGGCTTTTGATTTAAACCCATTTGAAGCCAACAAGATTGCCTGTAATTAGCATTTAAACTTATTTGTTTCGTGTGAAGTTCATGTTATCTGTAAAGTGTCTGATCTAGAATAATCTATCTTCAATTTGCAGTTCAGTGCACCGATTGCATTCTGTTTGTGTCTGACCTCTCCCCATCAAAAATGCCTTCCTCCAATGGACGTAAATTTTATATATCATCACCCAAACAGAATTCTAATTCTCGATCAACTAGCTCTGGAAGCCTGATGTTTGGAAATGCAAGTGAAGAGAAACATGGCACACGAGATCGGTTACGAAGGCTTATGCGTGATCTAGTTGTTGGAGAAGTGAAGCCAAAGTAAGCCATTGTATTTAAGTTGATAGATAAAATATTCCTTACAGTGTTGCCTAACCAATTTCTTGAATTTGTTTCCTTTGTTGTTTTCAGGGCTGACGAGTCTGTCCCAGTGGCTGAGTGTTTACAAGTCATTCACCACCAAGCCATTCGAAACCTTCTTCTTCTCGTTTATCCCTCTGAAATTCTGATACTTGACTTGCACATCAACCACACTGTAGGCCTTATCCCTCTTGAAAGGTCCACATCCCCACTTTTGCAGGTTGTATCCGCAAGACAGCGCAATGTGTTATACTGCTTGCATGAATCAGGAAGTGTGTCTGTCAGATTCCATCGTCAACAGCCACAGTTTTTGGCATCACCATTGGATGCCCATGGCTCTTCTAGTAGTTTGGGTGAGGTGATCATTTTCCTTTTACAGTGTTTCCAATACAGTTGCCCTTTTGCTCTGCACACATTTTCTAAATTACATTCTGTTAATTGCAGCTGACAATGTAGCGATGGGTGGGGATTCCTATTTAGAAATGGCATACGAACAAAAATGCCAGAGTGAAGTTATCAGGCAAACTAAAGGATCCAAAATTATTGGCATTGCTGTCAGTCGAATGTGTGAGAAACGTATTGGTAAGTAATCTGGACCACCTGAGGAACAGTTTAAAAAAGTACATAATTAATCTTTTTTTTTTTATTATCTTATCATTTAGCCTTGTTTATCAACACTGGCAAAATAGTCTTTCTGGAACTTCAATCATCAAATGTGGGGGCTGCCTGGTATGCCAATTTGATCTCCCACTCTACGGGCTTTCATATCAATTGGCCCAAAGAGACATTATCTGATCTGGTGCCACCGCTCAACAGTGTATGGTTCTATTTAAACATAGCTTAACTTTCCTTGCACCTATGTATATCAGAACCAATTGAATTTCATTCTGCTTTGCTCTTTTACAGGATGCTGTTGTTGGTCCAGTTCGCCTTCTTTTGATGGGCTTGCTCCACTCCATAACCAGCCCATTAACAGCTGTCAAAATGTGCCCATTGTCTCCATGCAAGATTAAACAAATCAGCCTTAACCTGCAAGGTCCTCTTTTGGCGGCAGGCACATCAAATGGACTAGTTCAAATAATTAATGTTGCAACTGGAACTGTAGAGAAGGAAGTTGCAGTCAGTTCTTACCCAATCAGGTAAAATTTTAAGGTGTTACCTCTCATAATTTTCAGTTTATCCTTTGCGTGCCATTTTTAATAAATACAAAATTGCTTATTTATATTTATTTAAAAATATAGAGGTATAGAGTGGGTTAACCACAATTCTATTTTGACTTGGAGTTATCCAAACTCTAGCCCAAGCAGTAATTTGGTTCGAAACGAACTACGATTGACTAATATTCTGACTGGATATGTACAACAAGTGCGTCAGGACAGGGGTGATGAGGCCCCTGTTGAAATTGTTCGAGTTTCACCATTGAGGTAAATAGTCCCTTACACTGCTCATAAATAAACTATTCTACTTTTTTTGTCACCAAATCTACATTTTTTACCATACTTAACAGGTGTTATTTTGCTGTTGTCCAAAAGGATGCAACCGTAGAGGTGTGGGACATGCAAACACTTCACTTGTTGTGGACTTTGAGCAAAAAGTTTTCTGGAATTACAGCACTGGTAAGAGACTGTATGTGACTAAGAGACAATCAGATAATTATTGTTTTGAAAGATGTCATAATTTTTGCTTGACCTTTCATAACAGGAATGGATGAGTCCCTACTACAAAAGAGGAGCAAAAAAGAGAGACAAGGAAGCAAGAAGATCTAGTCAGAGTTCTGTTCCAAGCACCCCTACCCCTGTCTCGGGTTAGTGAAACTTTCCCTGCATAGCTTCTGAAATGATTTTGGGCAGACATTTGACTATTATTGTCTTTATTCTTCCATCCACTCATTGATGTCTTTTGGTTACAGATGAAGCAAGTGCTTTTGGTTCGGCCCATCTTGATGTTGTACAAGAGACAGATGCGGAGTCAGCAAGGCAGAGTGAAGTTGTTAGTGAGCAATTTGCACTTGCTGACACTGAATGTAACTTTTATTACTATATTGTGGAAGGAAATGTTGCCAGAGACAGTATTAAAGTACTGCAAGAGGTATGTCTGTTCATTAATTTATCTGGTTTCCACCTCTTTTTGTTAGCTGGAATTCTAAAATTTCTGTATTTTGTTTGATTTTTAGCCTGGAAAGGCTCAAATCTCATGCTTGACTCACAAGGGTGAGCAGATCGTCCAAGGTGATGTGGAGGGAAATCTCCACATATTTTATCTGAAGGCCAAGAAATACTCTGTTATTGCTACAGGGAGAGGGGCCATCAAGAAAATTGGTTTTGCTCCCGGAGAAACCACTATGAAATTATTGGTTCTCTACAATGACGGTGTTATGCTTCTACATCTGAATGAAGTTAGTTTCATGTTTCCAAACAGTCCCCTTTTATTTTTGCCGTGTGTAGATTATGATTTTACATTCCTTTCCAGAGCCTCAAACGAGTAGAACTAAAATGTCCACGGGATATGGTTTCAATAGTTGACATTGACTGGGCAAGTGAGGACTGTCCTCTCCTTGTGAGTCAAGATGGGTGCATTCGAATCATGGACTCCAGTCTGAAAGAGTGCTCTTCATCCATAAATGAGTATGAGTTTCATGGTGCGTGTTTTTAAGTTTTGTTTGATTTGCTGAACTGGGCCTGGACATCTTTGTATTGAAAATTGTAATCTGTTTATAATCATGTGTGTTCCCAGATCGCATCTATTGTGTGGCTCTCCTTCCCAAGAATGTGCGTACTAATTTGGAGATAACACTTGTTACCCGATACTGGGAAAAGGATACTGAAGCTAGCATGGTGGATGCTCCAAAGCCTTGGCAGTCTTTCACAACAGAAGATGGATTTACAGAGCTAGAAATTAAAGGTAATTATGGACTTTTGAAAACTTTTTCCTTTTCTTGTTGAATAGAGTGTCACTGTCTTTGCATTTTACTTCTAGCAATTGGTGACCAATTACGACAAATAGATCCCGCTGCTCTCTCTCTTCTTTCTGCCCAAGAGGGTATGATGGGTGTTGCAGAGCGAAGTCTTTTAGTGGCAAGATTATTTGGAGAGCAATTTGATGTTGACTTTTGGACTGTGGCCCTGTATTATTTGCGGGTTGCTCAAGCAGAGCAAAAACAAAGGTAAAGAAAATATCTTTTGATTTTTCTTTGTAAATTTCTAGATTATAACTATTCCAATTTTTCTTGCAATTTGTTTTAGGCTGAGTGAATCAGATTTTTCACTTTGTGATTTCAATAATCTCACTTTTGATTCACCATCTTCAACAAGCTCTAAGACTCCAAAAATTAGAGCAAATATTCTGCCTCTTGATTCACACTATGACTATCTCTGTGATTCATACACATATAAGGTATGGCCTGTTTCATCATGCTCAGTTATTTTTTAAATTTTTTTTTTTTTTGATTGTATATTGTTTTTAGTAGCTTATTTAATTTTTTCTGTGTGGTTATCTTTTACCTGTTTAGAGACAGCAAATGGACCGGGTGATTGCATATGAAAGTAAAAGAGGTGATGAAGAACACACAAAGAAAGTCATTCAGGAACTCATATTACTTGGAGAGACTGATCGAGCTGTCCAGCTTTTGCTTGAAACAGAACTCGAAAATCCAAACTACTATACAGATGCCATCAAGTACGGTCAATTTTCATCAACGGGGTATTATCAGTATGATCAATCGTGAAACTTTTTTCAAGTCATTTCTGTTTTCCAGAGCTTGTCTTGTTGCCACAATCCAATCAACAGGTGCTGCTCAAAGCACTATCAAGCTTGTGGCAACAAATCTGATTGCAAATGGAAACATTTGGGAAGGTATTTGGCTCAGTTCAAAGAGGTGGCATTGACTGAAATAATGACCATATAATCTTTATAACTTTTTCTTTAATGTTTCTAGGAGTTCAGCTGCTGTGCTTGATAGGCAAGGGGTTGGATGCCTGCAGGTACCTTCTGTCATACAATCTCTGGGACTCAGCTGTGTGGTTAGCAAAATCTGTTCTTCCTCCAGCAGAAATGCATGAAGTTATGAGGAAGTATGCTGATCATCTTTTTGCTACCGGACACAGAGTATGTTGACATGTATCAATTTTACATTGAGTTTGAGCATCAATATCAACTTTTTCTGTCTGTAATTAAGCTGGATTTTTGTGCATCCGTGTTTTCCAGAATGAAGCTATTCTAGTCATACTTTCAATGAGCAGTTTTGAGCGAGTACTTGAAACTTTAGGTGGCTTCCGTCTTCATAAACATGCTGGCCTATTTCTCCAAGCATGCCGTGAATTTGGTCTTCTTCCTCAGAGGAAATATATGGAAGCTGCATCACCTCATATCCTTTAAAACATTGCTTCATAATGTCCTTGTTCAAGCTAATTGTTTTCCAATCTGTCTTGATAACTTTTGTAATTTCCTTAACAGTAACTTACAGACTTCTCTTCTCACTGCGGTAGAGCTCGATTTTGCACGGTGTCTCTTCGACTCTGGGAATCACCGGGCTGCCCTCCTGCTTTGCAAGCGCCTTGGCGACAGTGGGAATGAGTTACGAAGAGAGTTTGAGATACTTGCGGAAGAGACCATGTAGCACAGGTTTTTAATAGAAGTGAATCCCCTCTGGTTTGAGTGATTCACTTCCCTGTGAACCTCACTAGCACCTCAATTCAGTCGGTTGTCACCGGGATGTGTAAGGGAAAGCATTGAAATATTGTAATTGAGCATCTCACAGTGTCTACCCAGTTACAAATTTGATCTTGAGCCCCATTACTTTTGGTAAGGGCTTCTATTGAGGTGTTAAAAATTCACATTTCCCCAACTGATATGGAACTTTTAGGAAGTGGGATTTTGAGTGAGGAACACAGGATTCAACAGTGTTTGGTTCCACTGTTGACCTCTGCAGTATATATACTGTAAACTGAAGATTTTTTTTCCAAATCAATTTGTGACAAGTACATGGTTTTAGATTTGCATAGAAGGCATGACAAGTGGTGAGAAAGTGTGCAGTTCTAAGGCTGTGCTGAAAATTATATGTTGTTATTGCTTATATTGCTTTTATTTCAAAGCTACTGTTGTTTGAATTATTTTGTTCTGTTAGATGGAATATGATTCATGACGTTTTGTAAGTATTTATATCAGAATTTTATTGCCAAGAATTGTAAACTAACTACCTGTGATCATTGTAATAAAGTCACTGTAGGTATGTCAATTTTAGTGTACTTATTTCTAAGATTGTTGCATTCCTATATAAGAGAGAACTGCTATGTTTGTGATAGTCAGAAAATTAGTCAAAGTGCTGCCATGTTCTCATTTGTTTTGTGATATACTTTTGTTTAGGCATTGTGACAATTGCAAGCGGTTTGATTAAATGTTTTCCTTTCATATGTATTTATATAATATAATAATATATAATTCGCTGTTGTTGTTGTTTTTTTAAGTGTGTGTGCTTGACAGCACAACATATATGAAGTACCCATAAAATCATTCGCCCTTATGCTTTTACCCATTTTACTGCTAAAATTGTCTATTCTGATAATTTCATTTATATTATGCACATCTATTCTTAATACCCAATTTGTATATGTATTTAACTTTGTGAGTTAAGGCTGCTATAAACCTTTGTCTGGAACACACAGCGCTGTTCTCAAGTAAAGCCTAATGCAAAAGGTGGACTGTTTGTTGCTGCGTCAACATGCCAACTGCTTGTGTTCTATATTTTGTTACTTGTTAAAATTAGCTCTAGCAAGGCACAAACAACTTTATATAAGGCTATGCATTGTTTTGTACTAAAGATAATTTCATACTAAACTGGGCTCAAATCTGTAAGTAACTGCTGTAAAAATAAATCGTCCGTTTAAGTAGAAAGGTGACTCCAGCCGTTAATGTTGAATCTTCCCCCATCTCATTTTTATGCCGGTCGGCAATGTTTTACGGCCTGGTTCGGAAAGACGTCCACTGACTGGGCGTCTCCTCGACCTCCTACAGGTCGATCCCGTACGGCGGTATCGTCACTCTGTCTCTCTCACTCTTATCGGGCATCCGTGGGTGCGACAGAGACAGAGCGACGCAACCGCCGACCGGAATCACTCTGCTGTCTCCTGGCTGGGGCTGGGACGGCTGGGACTTCCCCGCCGCATCCTTCCTCAAGTAGCAGACGGCGGCGGGGCGGGGCGTGGCGGGGCCTCCGGCCATCCCTTCCACCGCGCCCCGGGCTCTGGGCAGTCTGGGCCCTGGGTAGGCCCTGGCGGCGTGGAGCTTGTCTCCATGCCGGCGGTGCCGCCGCGCTCCCCTCTCCCTCCTCTACGCCCTGCTCCAGGCCAGTGGTCTCGTCTCCGCCACACCACCACACCGCCACACCGCCACGGCCAGATGAGTGGCCAGCCAGCCAGTCAGCCCGGCGCACACTCTAGACTCGCTCCAGCCCCGAGCCCGGGACGCCAAGTCCGGCCGACCCTCCGCGTCCGCGTCCGCGGCCTGCCGAGTTCCCTGGCGCCGCCGCGCCGCCCAGCTTCGCGTAGCGTAGCGCGTTCGCGTAGCTTGGCGGCCGTCCTCGCCCTGCCCCGCCTAGGCCCTTCCCGGCGGCGTCACCGCGGCCTGTATCTAATCTACTGATACAAGGAGCGGCGGGTCGCGGAAGGCAAGGGTTTGGCAGAGGACTGCGCCCGCGCCGCGCCGACACACCGCCACCGACCGGCCGTCCACTGTCCACCGTCCACGGCGGCGCACTCCACGTCGGCGCTGAGCACCCCGTCGGCACCCATGGCGGAGGCGGCCGGCCCCGTCCGCCGGGCCAGCCGCGGCCACCGCGCCAAGCTCGCGGCCCCGTCGCTGCACGCCGTGCTCCTGCTGCTGGCGGCAGCCGCCTGTAAGTACACTCGCGCGCCTCGCGGTTCTACGTCGCGCAGGTGCGCGACTTCCGGTGTTTTGGTTCGGCGCAGCAGACTCATTCCGAGAGTCGCTTTCGTCGCGCTCTGTCTCTACCGCACCTTCAGAGGACGCCCCATGAGTGCGCGAGAGACAGAGCGACGAAAACGCCTCTCGGAATCAGTCGGCAGGTCGGCGTCGACTGGTCATTCCCCACGACTGCACAGCGCCCGCCGCGCGTCGAACAGCGACCTCGCCTTCGGTCGAGTGTAGTGGGTAGTATCGACTCGAAAAAAGTCCGCGAGTCGAGCGGCAAGCGGCAATCCAAACGTGTTCCCGGTCCTCGTCATCCAAGCCCAAGCCGCAATCATGCTTTGCTTTTATTCTCGTTTTCTTGGCGACGGATTGGCCGATTGGCCGGCAGCGGCGAGCGCGGCGCCGGCACCCATTCCGAACACGTCGTCGCTCTGTCTCTCTCGCACCTGTGCGCGACGCCCCGTGTGCGCGAGTAAGACAAACGCGGTGCCCGGAATCAGTCCGGCGGCCGGCCGCTGCCCGTCAAGGGACTAGACCCGCGGCAACCCGCGGCCATCGGCCAGCCCGCGTCGCGCGGTGCGTCGGAATGCTAACGCATGGAAACCAATGGAAATGCGGCGTCGCGGCGGCGGCGCCCCTTGGCCCGTCTGGACCATCATCACGGCCCATCAGCCGCCATGACCCCGTCCGCCCGAACCGCGGACGCGGACGCGAACGCTTTGGCGGATGTTGACACGTCTGGCCGCATCGTACAGCGGCAGCGGCGTGACAGCGCGCGCGCTTTTATTGCCGCCCGATTTTGCAGGATCGTCTCGTCGCCCTGTCTCTCTCGCACTCTTGGGCCGGTCCGTAGGTCCGTAGGGGTGCGAGAGAGACTGAGCGACGAGACGATCCTTCGGAATGAAGCTTGCTTCGCCTGCTTCCGGCCTGCGCCGAACCAAAGGGACCAAAGGGACCAAAGGGACCAAAGGACGGCCCAGCGGCCAGGCCAGGGAGGGGCGATGCGGTGCCGGCGCAGTGGGGAGCAATTGGCGAAGCGAATGTGAATGTACGTAGTCGGTGCGGTTAATCCTAATTACCTTTTTACGCCTCAATTGGCCCGTGAGTCGTTTTCGTGGGAGACAGATCGACAAAAACGGCTCTCGGAATCAGTCTGCTGTTTGCGTCCTGCAGTGCCGGTTTAAATGTCCCGGGTTTGCAGACCACTTGACGGAAATAACTTAGTGCCTCGTCATGGCTCCCCTCGTGTTCCCTCCGGGCTACGCTGCGGCGCAGTCGCATGGTGCAGTCGCGTGGTCTGCTGTCTGGGGCACGCACACACCCACACCAACGCGAGTGTGAGTCGCACAAACAGGAACTCGCTACTGGCACTCCCGGGGGTGCGATCGGAAACCCGGCCGAAGCACCTGTCTCTGCCTCTGCCTCTCTCTGTCGGCGCGCGGCCCGCCGCACGTGGCGTGGGTGGGAGCGTGACAGAGAGGGTAGCCACTGACACTGACCCCGCCGGTGGCTGTCTCTGTCCCGGCAGGTCTCGTGAGCTGCGGCGGGGTCGACGTGGACGACAAGGGCGCTGAACTTCCCCCGAGACGGTTCCCCAGCGGGCCGAACCTGGACAAGCTGCGGCTGCACGTCAACGAGACGGGGCCGCCGCCGACGCCCTCCTCGCAGGCCTCGCCGGCCCGGGCCACCGCCGCCACCGCTGCCACCGCCGTCAACCACACGGTGGTCGTCGGCGTCGCTCCGCCCGCCGCCACCGCCAGACCCTTCCTGGAGCCCACCAAGTCCGCCGCCGTCCTGGTCGGCGTGTTCGTCAGCGTCGCGCTGGTGGGGTACTTCTCCCTGCTGGTGTGGCGACGGGTCTTGGAGTAAGTATAGGAAAGTCAGTGAGACGGGGGCGAAAACAAAATGAACGCTGCGCTTACCTGACTACTCGCAGCTAAAACTTCCGTGCGTGGCGCGTGCATTGCCCCCGGCTGGGTGGTTCTGGGTGGGCCTAGGTCTGCCTAGGCAGGCCGGACTAGGCTAGGCGTGGCTTGGGGGAGCAAGGCGAAGCAAGGCGAAGCAAGGCGGGGCAGCATGCCTTCGGCCTCGGCCACCTTTGGCTGCCTTCGGCTGCCTTTGGCACTCAGCATCGCGGAGTCCTTGGTCCAGGCGGAGTCCGTCGGTGCCGGCCCTGCCAATCATTTCGGTCCCCAAAAGCCGGCGCGTGTTTCGCCGAATCGCGGACGGCAAAGTGGCGCAGCCGCAGCCGTCGTTGCTCCGTCTCTGTCGCACGCACGGGTCGTGCCGCAGGTTGGCAGGGGTGCGAGAGAGACAGAGCGACGGGTGGCGCGGGTAGGGTAATGACCGCCCTTGCATCGCCTTGCCTCGCCTTGCCTCGCCTCTCATGCCGGAATGTAGATCCGCGACTTCCCTGCCGATTCGCTCTTCCCGCTCGCGATTCGCGATGCCATCCCGCACTGTCTCTCTCGCACTCATGGGGCGTCCCGCGCAGAGGCGAGAGAGACAGAGCGACGAAAACGACTCTCGGAATCGGTCTGCAGCAGCCCATCCCGCCTAGAGAGCCTCCTGTTCCATTTCACTCGACGCGCAGTCCGCACTCCAAATTCCATCGCTGTCGCCGCGCCCTGTCTCTCTCGCCCTCGCGTACGCCGCTGCGCCGCTTCTGGACCACCTATCGCGTTTTGACACGGGAGCTTCGCGGAATTTGATTGTTGCGGGCGCGCGATCCGAGCCGTTGCTGTGACGCAAGTGAAATTTCGAGATGACGTCGAAGGCTTTGACAGCCCGGCAGTATCATTACCTTGACCGCCTGGCACCATGCTGGCGCGCTCGGTGGTGGTGGTGCGGTGACGTCACCGGGAAGTCCACATTTCGTCGTGCAATTTTTTTTAAAAATACCTTTTTTGCGTTGCATGTCTCGGGAAAGGGGCGACAGGATTGCAGACGTGAAGCCGACAGGCGATTTACCCCCCCCCCTTTTTCCAATGAATTTGGCTCATTCGAGCTCATTGCAGCTGAATTTGGACCGCTAAACCGCCAACAGGGTAGGGCCGTCGCGACGGTGGCGACGGTCGCGACGCTAAGTGACGGGGCGGGCATGGCGGGCATAGGGCACCGCGCAGCCACTACTAATTGCACAACTCCCACGCCACTCGCCGTCCCTTCATGCTTAATGCCTCATGCTCGCGTGTCTCTGCCGCCGATCTGACTGTTCCTCTCATCCATTTCCGTCCCGATTTGTCCCCAGGAGGAGGTACGGCAACCGGGAGATTCTAGTCAACGAGGAGCAGTTCGAGCAAGACCGGGACCTGAGGAATTTCCAGGTGAGTTTGGTCTCGTTCTTCCGGACCGGAGCGAGAGGTGCTGACTCTGCCTCCCCCTCGGACGACGAATTCTTGGCGAGGTCGTCACTGCCCTGGCCGCCCTGGCATTCACTCGCGCGCAACGCGCACGTCGGCCAGGCACGCGGCTACGCCATGGCTATGCGGCACGGAGCCGCGCCTGGCCTATCTGCAGCCGTGTGGACGTCGCGTCCGTCGCGTCGGCGGCACGGGCACGCGAGCCCAGCGTCAGCCCGCCTGGGCGCCAGGACTGGACCCATCCCATCCAGTTGCCCCGTTTTTGTTGGTCTCCCGATTGGACGAGTTGCCGACTTTCCCGGCCGTCTCCTCTCGCAGTGCCGAGTCTGCCGAGTGGTGGCGCTTACTCGCGAGTCACCCCGCTCCGTGTCTGCCTGGACGCTGTCTCTGTCGCGCTCGAGCGACGTTCGAACGGGCGTGAGGGAGACAGAGCGACGAGACGCTGTGGCGGACTGCGGCTAGGCGTTTCAGTCAGTCCCATCCGCCCCAAGACTCGCCGGAGGGGAGTCGGCGCTGCGCTCGTCGGGCAGGGCCTGGTGGCCAGGCCGCCAGGCCATAGAGCTAGCTCTGCTAGGGAAACTAAGGTGGCTGTAATTATACCCCATGCATCCAACCATCCAACTGGGTCAGGCGGGTTAGGTCCACCGGAATTAGATGTTATGTACACTGGTTAAGACCGTGGGCTCGGCCCACCCGAGGCCGCCGCCGCCGCGCTGCCGGTAGGACGAGAAGCAGAAGCAGGATGTCCGCGGGTGAACGCGGCGCCGGCCTGGTGCCTGGGCCGGCCTAGAGAGCCAGCCCAGGCTGCAGGCTGGGTTTTGTAAGAGGCCCGATACAACTTTGAACCGGATCGACCAGCCTGGGCCCGCGTCCGTGAACGCCCCTGAACTAAAGTTTTCTTCCTTTCCGCCTCGTCATGTTTCAGCTGTGAGCCGAGGACACGACTTCAGCTTCAGCCAGTTCCTGGGCAGGTCATCGTGGCAGAGCGCAGCAGAGCGCCTGCACGTGCATTTCGAGACTGAAAGACTGCCGCGGCGCGCGGGACCGAGGAGTGCAAGTCAAATGGGCCCCTGTGGCCCCTGTGGCCGTGCTGCTAGGCAACCCATTCGACTCCCGTGAGCGGCGGGCGCTTCAAGGAGCCTTCGCGGGTTTGACGGCGTTTAAGTTATGGAATGTGGCTTTCTATCAAAGCAAAGCGTACTTGTTACTTTTTTTAAAATTTAAATAATTTAAAGAGTATTTGAAGTATTAATTTTATTGTCCCGTGTGTATGAGGAGCTCAACAGAGGTCTATAGCCATCATAGGCATTTGAAACTTAAAGGATGACAGCAGTGAAGCCAATAAAATTGAAAACAGCAAGAAATATGTACAATTGCCTGAAGATTATTACTGTGAAATAAAGAAACGAAGCAGGGAGGACTTTTAGCTACAAAGGAAAATTACAATAATGTTTTTAAAAACATGCATGTGCATGGCACATAACTACCATCACTCTAAGCAGTTCAGAACTGATTTGAGATCAATCACACAAGCATGTGGAAAACAAATCTAAAAGTAACAAATGTCAAAAATGCAATCACATTGAAGGAAGTGAAATCAATCAAATTGTTTACAAAAACCCTAGTTTGGCACTAAGCAAATTTTAATTCCTTTATTTCTTCTTCTTCACAACGAGGGGGCCAACATTGTCACCTGTAGTCTCATTGTGAGCGTTGTGAGAGCCATCACACTTGGGGAACTGCAAGAAAAAAATTCAAAACATCAATTGCCTGAAATCAATATTTCACAAGTTCATTCTTTGAAGAGACTTACGGTCTTGCTCTTCCAGCAGCGACAAAATGCTGAAGTTTCACCAAGATCCTCTACATCTACAGAGTGGACAACTTTAGCATTGTTCTTCTCAATTGAGTTATTGATGTGGATCTGGAAAGAAAGAGCGACAAGGGTCAACCACCGTGAGTGCAAGTCACTGTCCAGGCAAGGTCTGGAGCCATAAATACCTTGCACACACGTCCACAAGGACAAAATGCCAAATATGACATGTATGTAATGCCACCAATGACAGCACCCAGGGGCACCAGAGACAGCCAATCACGGACTGAAACATAAAGGGAAAACATTACAACGTAAACAAAGACGGAATCCTGTATTCAGCACAAACAGCTCAACCTATTTGCAAGCTAGTTCTTTCGAATCTTCCAATCTCTGTGAGAAAGATAAGGAGCACCAGATTAGTGGTGGGCAGGTGGTTTAAGCTGTCTTCCCCAATCAGCTGATGTCCTGGCCGTTTTCAGACCAACTTTGAGGTCACTCGGGGTGAGGACCTCAACCTATGGAACCTGTGGGGACTTGCCTCGTGCGAAACGAACCCACAGACACTCAGCCGCATGCCGGCGTCTCACCTCCGAGTTTGAACCAGCCTCCGATGGACTTGGGCACCGGGAGCCCGGACAGGTAGTTGGGGATGTTCTGGGTGACCAGGTTCGACATGACCTCCATGGCGACGGCTGGGATGACAAGACACACTGGGGTGACAGTCGACAGACAGGGTTGCTCTCCGCCTGGATGCAGCCAAGCGCACTGCAAGGGAAGGGCGAGGGTCACAAGAGTGCCGCACTTGGAGAAATCTGCAAGAATCTTTCCTAACCTGACAGAACCAACTGGGCTACGGTGCAAATTTACGGGTGTGCTGCTGGTTAGCGGAGCGCTCACAAGGCGCTGCTTTTGAATCGTCTGCTTTGGAACGCGGGAGGGGGGAAGGGGTAGGGTCGGTGACCCCTCCCCTCTCCCCTCCTCACCCCCGAAACGCTTTTATTTCTGATTTGTGACTTATTTTAAATATTTGTTCAGTAGATTAAAACAAGTATTTTTTCTTTTCGTTTTTATCTTTATGAATAAACTATGAAACAAAAAAATAAGCAAATAAATTAGTAAGTGTGCCTACTTTGATTCAAGAAGGCGGTGCCTCAGTCCAGTGTAGTGTCCGGATTTGGAACAACCATTTCAAGAAAAAGCCAACGAAAGCTATTTATCATTTGACTGAAATGCACTGAGTTGCAGCCTGCCGCTTTTTATTTTGCGTTTTTCTGTCCTCCGAAAATTGACCCTGTAGTTGGAACTTTGATTGGTTTGTCTAGGGTAAGCATTATTTTATGAAGTTGTTTTGCTTGGCTTGTGCGTCTGTTCCTCGTCGCGTCTTCGTACTTGGTTAAGTAGTTTTAGTTGGATTTTCTGACCGCTGGGAATTTTCTCATGGTTCTCCGAAGAGTTTTTTGGAAACACATGGAAACGTAAACGGGTCGTGCATTCTGCCCTTTTGTTTTATGCCTTGGTCGTGGCCGTTCTGGAATGTTTTTATCGGACGGCAGTGCCGCGCTGCTAGGGTTATCTTATTGATTTGTTACGTACTACTGTTTGTTTTTCGGTTTCCGTTGGTTTTTTTTAAATTCATAACCTGTTTTAATAAGGCCTTGCCCTTGTCTAGTGCTAAAGTTACTGTTTAAAACTTTGATTCAGTAGAGCTAATTATGTATTGCCCTTATTATTCTTATGTTTACTTTTTTAAATTCCCTGAAGCTGTGGTTCTGTACTACTTTTGTTACACAATTTCTGGTGTTCTGTTCTCTTGTAGGATTCACCATGCGGAGAACAAGTTTAAGGGCACGGGCCAAAGCTTCTGAAGATGTTGATACTCCGCCACCTAAACGCGCAACACGGAGGGGGCGTCGCAAGAAGTCTGAATCTTCTTCGGATGAAGAATCAGAGGAAGAAGTCATGCCTACACCAAAATCGGTAAGGCTCGAACAAAGTACTTTGCTGTTGTTTTCACTTGCGCTTGTTGTCTTAGCAACAATTTATTTTTCCAGAGGAGAGCAATTGTTGAACCTGAAGAAAGACCTGTTCCCACTACTCCTGCTGCAAGCCGCACTCGCCGATCCTCCCGAAGAGTTGATGTGCCCGTGGAAGAGACCAAACCAGCAGAGACTGTAGATTTAGAAGCAGACAACAACGCAGACAGAGACTCCAATGGTTCAAATGAAACTGAAGCAGTAAGTTGCCTCTCAACTATTAGTTTCCATCTTTCCATTTTCATTTGCATATTGCAAATCTTACAACTACTAACACCTTTTTTTCAGGATTCAAGTACTGTATGGAAAGTTCAAAACTCCAATGGATCAGGCACTGGTATAGCCAAGTTGAAGTTGTGTCGCTCAGGACCTGTGGAGCCAGAAATAGCTTCACCCCGTAAAAGAAGGTAAGCCACTTCGAAACTGTTGGCATTAAGTGTTATTTTCTGTTTTGTTTGTTTATGAATTTTTTTTGTGGTTGGTGGTTGACTATTTGTTTTTATTTGCAGAGGAGTCAGGGAACCTGAGATGCACACGATTGTTGAGGTGGAAGGAAATGTTGCTCAGCAGCTAGCAGCTGTTGCGCAGCCAAGTCCGACGCCTGAGCCGGATTCCTCTGGTTTAACTGGCAAAGCACGAGCCGCGAGGCGTTTAGAGCAGGTATCAAAGGAAAGCTCATCATCTTCATCGTCTTCCTCCTCCTCCTCCACATCTTCTTCATCTTCATCTGAGAAGTCACGATCATCAACCCCTGATAAAGCTGAAGAAGAAGAGGAGGAAGCCAAAGAGGAGGATGATGAAATCCAAGTTATTAAAGAAGATTCTGCGTCAGTTCCATCCAAATCTTCTGAAGAAAATGAAGACTCATCTTCTCGTGATGGCTTAGAAGTTATTGAGAATGTGGCTGGCACCAAAACCAACAAGGGAGACAAGGTAGTTGTTAAAGTTAAAACAGTTGTGCCACCTGGAAAAGCAGAAGAGACCGAGAAAGCTAATGCTGCCGCTAAGGCTGCAGAAGCTCAGGCTAAAGCAGCGGCCGAAGCCAAGGCTAAAGCTGCGGCCGAAGCCAAAGCCGCCGCTGAGGCCAAGGCTAAAGCAGCTGCAGAAGCGAAGGCTAAAGCTGCTGCAGAAGCGAAGGCTAAAGCCGCCGCCGAAGCCAAGGCAGCTGCCGAAGCCAAGGCCGCGCAAGAAGCCAAGGCCGCCGCAGAAGCCAAAGCGAAAGCAATCGCAGAGGCCAAGGCCGCCCAAGAGGCGAAAGCAAAAGCAATTGCTGAGGCCAAAGCCGCCGCAGAAGCCAAAGCCGCCGCAGAGGCCAAGGCTAAAGCATTAGCAGAAGCCAAGGCCGCCGCAGAAGCCAAGGCCGCCGCAGAAGCCAAGGCCGCCGCAGAAGCCAAGGCCGCCGCAGAAGCCAAGGCTAAGGCAGAAGCCAAGGCCGCTGAAGAAGCCAAAGCCAAGGCAGCTGCAGAAGCCAAGGCCAAAGCAGTAGCAGAAGCCAAGGCCAGGGCCGCCGAAGAAGCCAAGGCCAAGGCCGCCGAAGAAGCCAAGACCAGGGCCGCCGAAGAGGCCAAGGCCAAGGCCGCCGAAGAGGCCAAGGCCAAGGCCGCCGAAGAGGCCAAGGCCAAGGCCGCCGAAGAGGCCAAGGCCAAGGCCGCCGAAGAGGCCAAGGCCAAAGCAGCAGCAGAAGCCAAGGCCAAAGCAGCAGCAGAAGCCAAGGTGAAGGCCGCCGAAGAGGCCAAGGCAGCAGCAGAGGCCAAGGCCGCTGAAGAAGCCAAAGCAGCCGCAGATGCCAAGGCTAAGGCAGCTGCAGAAGCCAAGGCTAAGGCAGCTGCAGAAGCCAAGGCTAAAGCCCTGGAAGAAGCCAAGGCCAAGGCCGCTGAAGAAGCCAAAGCCAAGGCCGCTGCTGACGCGAAGGCTGCCGCAGAGGTGAAGGCCAAAGCAGATGCCAAAGCTGCTGCTGACGCCGAGGTTGCTGCCAAAGTTCAAGCTCAGGCCAAACTTGACGCAGCAGCCAAAGCTGCAAAGGTATCCGAAGAAGCGGTTACACCCACTGAAGCCAATGCTGACGAAAGTGACGATGAAAAGGAATCCGCTGCTGCACCCGTACAAGTGCCTGAGGAGGAGGACCAGTCTGACGACGAGCCCGTGATGGACCTTGCTCCAGGGTCACCTGTGGAACATGATACTGAGATGGCTGAAGCTGAAGCTGTAGAAGCGAGAGAGGTGGAAAAAGCTCGTGGGAGGAGGTAGGCACTGTCCATTTTCAAAACTGCATCATTAGTCTGTTTACTTTTTTCTTATCAAGTTTTTGTTGCTTTTCCAGACGTACTCATCGCTCAGCAAGCAGTAGTTCATCTTCAGACCGTAGTTCAAGTTCAGACTCGGATTCTGAAAGTAACTTAAAACGAAAGAAGACCAGGCATTCTAGTAATGAACGTGATACAGTTCCTAAGAAAATTGTTCGTGGTCTTGCTCCAAAGCAGGAAGACACTCAAGTTGTTAAGGAACTTGTTAAGACAGAACCTGTTAAGGACGAGACGCCTGCACCACCCACACGGTTGCGCAGAAAGCTTCCTAGTACGTCTGAGCTGGCTGAAAAAGTTTCTCTCAGAAGAACTATGTAAGTTACATCTTTGTATTTTCATAATATTTTCTAGTTGTTTCAGTGAGTGAAATTGGTGTTTGGTTGTTAAATGTTTCCTTCACACACTTCTCACAAATATCTCAATATTTTTTCTGACATAATTTACCATTTCAGCTCTGCACCTAGTGAGGACCAGACAAAATCTGAAGATGGAACGGCATCAGAAAATCCAGCATCTTCTGATGCTACTGTAGATGAAAATAAGGTAAGATGTTGTTTGTAATGAGTTAGTTATGAGATTTAAATTGCTCTGTTCTATTTTATTAATAATTTTTTCTTACCTCTTTAGGAGAATTCAAGCAGTGTTCCAAGCCCAGAGGGTGAGTTTCAGAAATTTTAGCAATGTTGATACTTACAAGCTGTTGAGCTTATCAATTAACAGTTCTATTAATAACAAGGAATAATTATAATAAACCTTGACTTTGTTGTTGTTGTTACAGAAGACATCAAACCTTCTGAACAGCCAGTAGCACGCAAGCGAAGGTGGGGTTCATGCAAGAGTATTAAGAAGCCTGTGTTATGTATATCATCAGATCCTTTAAAGGTAAGTTGTATTGTTAATCCTTAACATTAATTTATGGTAATATGTGTAATCATGATATTCTTTTAAATGTCTGTTTGTTCCTCCAGAATCTTATTCCTGATGCTAAACCAGTTGCTGAGAGTGAGGTTCATTTAAATCTTGAAGAAGAGGGAGAAGTGTTTGACGAGGATGAACGATCATCGAATTTGGAGAGAGGGAGAGAAAGAATTGTAGTTGACCGGCCTCTTCCTCCACCAGGTGCTTCCTTGCCTGAAACTACTCGCATAGTTGTTAATTCGTCATTAGAAGCTGAAGGTGGGTATACTGGACTATTACCTATCACCTCATACCTGAGTACCTGATTCTTTATTTAAATTGTTTTGTTTCAGAGAAAAAAATTGAACGAAAGATTTCTGTGTCCAACGAAGGCTCTAGAGCCACTAGTACAAAATCGCCTACCCCATTAAAACAAAGAATTTCCACTGTCCTTTACATAACAAATTTGGTGAGACCCTTCACTGTGGGCCAACTGAGGGAACTTCTCTCTAGAACTGGAAAATTTGCTGAAGGAGGATTTTGGATTAATAGCATTAAGTCACAATGTTACATTGAGGTAAGAGTTTTTGCATGCTTTCTTCTTTTAAGACACTTAAAAAGAAACCTAACTAAATTTTATTTATTCTTCCAGTATGAAAATGAGGATCAGGCTGTAGAAACTAGGCATGCCTTGCATGGGGTGCATTGGCCTATTTCCAACCGCAAAGCACTTCATGTAGAATTTGCCAAGAAAGAGGATATGATAAAAGCGCAGTCTGAAGCAGAAGGTGAACCCATTGTTATCAGAAAGTCTGTTCTGCCCAGTGACACTCATCACAGAGATGTCAAAGATCTTGATGAGAAAATTATAAAGGTGAGTTACTCGTCTACAGCGCCAGTTTGCTTCGAACTATACCTTATCTTGGCTGACTTGAGTTAATTTATCGCGTTTTCGTCAGGTGGCTCAGCCTGTGCGTGAATGGGACCTCGGCAAGGTGGCGGACGCGGCGGACGCGAGGGAGGGCGGTCTCGACGACAGAAAGAAGAGGGAGGACGATCGGCGAGTGAGACGAGACAAGCGGTCGGTGTCGCCATCTCATGACGGCCCAGGTGAGTAAAGTTGTGCAGCAGATAATTTGTTTCTGAACACACACGTCTTCCCAATTGATTTGGCTTTGCCTAACATCCTGTCCTCCTTGTTTGGCCGCCAGCCCGCAAGGCGAAGAGAACTGAAGAAGCAGCCCCTGCTAAGTTACTGGATGACCTGTTCCGGAAAACAAAAACCACGCCTTGTATCTACTGGCTGCCGCTCACGCCTGAACAGGTATGTTTACATGATAGTAATAAAAGCGACTGTCTCTTTCTCTGTCTGTCTGTGTGACTGATCGCTCTGTCTGTCCTTGTCCCTCAGATTGCCGAGAAGGAGGAGATGCGTCGGAAGCATATGGCGGAGCACGAGAGGCTGCGGGCTGAGATGAGGAGGGCCCATGAGAGAAACACGCAACGGGGCCCGGGCCGAGACCAAGGCCGGGATCAAGGCAGAGACCAAGGCAGAGACCAAGGCCGCGACCAAGGCCGCGATAGAGACCGCGAGAGAGAGAGAGAAAGAGACCGAGACCGCGAACGTGAGCGAGACAGGGACCGCAAGGACAAACGTCGTGGTAGCAAAGACAAATAGACGACTGCATTATGGCATAACTGCATTTGCACTGCAATGAAGGAGAAGAAGCGTCTCGACACTCCGACTCCTGAAATCTTTGAGGAAATGCTTCCAGGATGCATCCTGACCCTGGGGCTGTCCCGTCTTGAATTTGGCTGCCCTGCCCATCAGGAAATGGTCGGTTTCAGTTTCTCCTCTGTCCCAGACTCCCTTCTCCTTTGCGTCGGGTTCTCATGGTGTAATTGCCCTTTTTTTTCTGTAAATTTTCCCCACCTTTTCTTAACTTTGGTTCCAAATATTTTTTTGGGCCCTGTTTATTTTGTTTCTCCCCAGTTTTTTTTCTTTTTCTAAATTTCTTTTTGTAAATTCTCAAGATTTTGCATGTTAGGTGTCCTTCTTTGGGGGGGAGGGGGCACAACATAGAAGTTTTTGTTTACTTTTTCATTAATTGTTAGTTCTGTTACTTCCAGTGGTTTTTAATTCCCCTGGCCATGATAAAATGTGGCTCCTTTGTAAATGTTCTGCTCCACAGATTGGGGTGGTTCGAGTTCCTGTTAGAATGAATTATGAATGAGCTCTATGGACAGGTTGTGTAGCGTGTTTGTCCTTAGTACAGCCATATCTGGGATTGTCATCCTGCACCCATTTGTAGGTGTATGGCACTACTTTGATGCATATCTTGAGTGTGCAAGTTTATGCATTAATTGGTATGTGAGTGATGCGCAGCTTTTGTGCACAGTGTGTGTCAGTGAATGCATGCGTATGAATGTGTTTCGCTCCTGTCCCCTTTTGGCAATTCTTTCCCCTCCCTGTGTTCCTTTTTCAGGTTTCCAGTAAGTTTGTTTCAGGTTTTCAGAGAATGATATCTGATTCTTTTATCATCCTCTCATGCAGCAAGGCATTCAAGCACAACATTTGAAGATCGTCGTCATCTTTTGGAAACCAACTGTTCTGAAACTCCTGAAGGCACCACTCATCAAGTACTTGTACATCTGCATTGACTTCCATTGTTGAATCATCTGTCAACATCTACAGCTCTGCTGCTTGTCCAGATGTTACCTTGTACATAGCACCAAAGGAGTTAAATGAGCTGTCTGATTTGTGTTCAAGATAAAGCTATGTGGCAAAATGCATAAGGCAAAATGAATTGACTTGCTTGCCCGCGTTTGCGCCTTTTCACTGAAATGAACTTGGTGTTTTTCCATATTTCACCATACACCAATACTTTGTTAGCACTTGTGATGTGAAATGTTTAATTTTTTTTTACTGAACCAAGTTGTGTCTTGTCTGTACACACTACATGTTTTTAGCCAAGAATTATTAAATTGTTTTAAACTGACTCAGGTTTTTCTTAACACTCCCTTCCTAGAAATTGATATGAAAAGATGGGAAAAGGAAAAGAGAACACCACACAAAATACACAACCAAAGTTCCCTTTTTTTTTTGTGGGGGAAACCCTTTGAAGGGAGGCTTCAAAAATAATGATGAAAGAGACTACACATGAGATTTGTCAGAGCTCTTCATTAGAAGGCAGCTGCAGCATGGAGGATGGGATCCAGAGGAGGAGCAATGGAAAAGAGGAGACAGTACTCCCCCTCGCCCCGCCCGATCCGAACAAGGAGTTACACACTTGGCAGGTGGATGGGCTTGCGCGGGCGGTGCTGCCTCTGCGTCTTGAGCATCTCCATGCGGGCGGGGCTGGCGCAGCGCAGACTAACGGCTCGGCCATGCCTCGTCGGCAGATGCGTCCCGCCGGCGCCAGGCCTCCAGTAGCCTCCAGCCCCGGGCAAGGCAGCCCCGGGCCGCGCTGCAGCCAGCACGATGAAGCTAGGGAAGCGCTCCGGGAGAGGGGCGTGGGGGAGGGGAGGGGACCAGGCGCGCTCCCGCCTGGCAGCAGACAGCTGCCACCGAAATTAACAGCGAGGGGCCCGGCCGGGGAGGGGCAAGGGCATCCACAGCGCGGCCACGGCGGAGCTGGGGCTGGGGCTGCGAGCCAGCAGCCAACCACAGAGGTGTGTTTCGGCTTCGGTTCCGCTTGTCCCGACGCCCACGCTCTGCCCTGCTCGCCGAGGCGCCGAGGCCTGCTCCACGCGCCGCCCTCGACAAGTCCCACCCCTCCGTGCCCCGCGGTGCCCCGGGCGGGGTTCGGACCTCGCCGCCACCCCCCGCTGTCCGTCCCACCGTCCCAGCCGTCCGTCTTCGATCGGTGGTCCCGGGCTGCGCAGTGCTGCGCTGGCTGCTGGCTGCTGGCAGCACTGCCGCGGCGTTGTGCCGAGTGGCCCGGGCCGGCCCCGGCAGCCCCCAGCCTCCGGTCCGCGCCCCCGCCCCCGCTCCCGCCCCCGTGCCGACACTGCCCCTATCCGTCCCGCCCCCACGGCGCCCCGCGGCCCTCGGCGCGGCTAGGCTGGCTTGGCTGGCTAGGCGCACGCGCCCGGGCAACCCCCTGCCCCGCGCGCGGCACCGCGCAGCACCCCGCAGGCAGCCCGGCACAGCCCCCCTCGCCGCGCCGCGCCCTCTGGCGGCAGTGGCGGCAAGCCAGGCTCGGGAGGAGCTCGAGCAATGAGCAGAAGAAGGGATCCTGCGGGAAGGGCCTAGGGACCCGGACGGTGCGCGCAGTGCGCACCGCGGCCAGCGGAGTGTAAACAAAACAGATCCCGCCAGATCCGCGAGTGCTCGGCGTGTGCGAGGCCCTGTCGCGTGCGAGGCGGTCGCGGCGTGCGCGGAGAGGCCGTGGTTCGAATCCGGCCGAAGTGGACCCGCGGTGAGACGTTGGAGCACCTGCCCGCGCTGGACCAGGGAGGGACCTTAACCTCAAAGTGCGCCACTGCTCCCCCGTCGAGGCGAGCGAGCCGCGGCGCGGAGCACAGGGGTCGCCCTGCCGCAGGGACAGGCTGCCGCCCCGCCGCGCCCCGCCGCGCCCCGCCCACCTCTCGGCCGTCACGCGTCGTCACGCGGCGGCTGGGGGCGTAAACGCGTAAACGTGACGGCGTGCTGCCCGTCGGCCAGTGTGACGCCGCGACACTGACACGCGGCCAGGAAGACCGAGTGACGGGATCCTCAGGTGGGCGTGACTGTCACGGTCCGACACACGATCAGGACGTCGTCGAGGAGTCGGGCTGCCTGCAGTAGCCTGCAGTCTGCAGTGTGACGCCGTCCGCGCCCCGTCGGCCCGCCACGGGGATCCTGGTCACGGCGGCCACGGCGGTCTCGGCGATCCTCAGGTGGGCGTAGACGTCCTGTCCGGCACCCTGTGGTTCCACGGGGTGGGCAGCCTGCCCTTGCGGCGCGGCTGCCCGCAGTTCGCCGGTGTCGGCGTCGCGGAGGGGCAGGTGGGGCCCGAGGCCTTGGCGGGGGTTGGCGGCGCGGGGGCCGCCGCGGGGGCAGGGGGCCACCACTGGAGTACGAGTGACCAGGGCCGAGACAGCAGTACGGACCCAGACGACACCGAGGATGGCGGCGACACGAGCAGTGCCTTCTCGTCGTCGAGCTCGTCCGGGGAGTCGGACGCCGAGGACATGTCGCCGTCACACCTTGACAACGGCCTGAACCTCGGCCTGAACCTCCTGCCACCGCCGGGCCTGGACCGCCTGGACCGCCTGGACGCGGGGACTGCAGCAGACACCCCGACCTCGCCGTCGACCGCCCTCAGCACGTTCGCCGGCAACGCCACCAAGAAGCCGCCGCCGCCACCCCCGCCGAAGAGGCTGACCCCGCTGAGCGGGTCGGTGCAACAGCAGCTGCAGCAGCAACTGCAGCGCCTGGCCACGACCATCACGACCAACGGGACCAACTCGAACCAGACGGCCAAGCAGCAGGACGACCAGGACTCGCAGTTCGGCGTGCCGGTCAACAACAACAACAACACCAACAACAACAACCACAGCCCCTGCTCCAGTCACGGCCTCCGCGGGGCGACACACGGACAAGCCCACGGCGCCGGGCACGGCCTGACCACGGCAGCCACACGCGAAGGGGGCCTCGGGCCAGCCCTCGGCCCAGGCCCCGCCACCGGCACCACTCCCTACCAGGTGCGCACGGCCAGGACGACCTCCACCAGCTGCTGGCCTCGCAGCTGCTGGCCCGCACCAGCCCCGCCGTGTCGTCCTCCAAGCTGCCCACCTCGGCGTCCGACTCCGGCTCGGGCTCCGGCCTGGGGTCCGTGTCGGTGTCGGCGTCCGGCTCGGGGTCGTCCGGGCCAGGGCCAGGCCCAGGGCCAGGGGCTCCATGCCCATACCGGCACGTGCCCCAGTGCCCGTACCGGCACTTCTCGTCAGCGTGCCCCTGTCCGCCGGGCGCCCACCCTAGCCACCAGCACCAGCAGCAACACCACCAGCAGCAACAGCAGCAGCAACAACAGCCCAGGCAGTTCGGCAGCCTGGGGCGGCGGCAGACCTCGCCGCGGCCGCTGTCGCTCGCCCCCGCCCCCGGCCACGTGTCGCTGGACCTGGCCGAGCCGCTGGGGCAGCTGGGGTACCGGCCTCCCCCTGGTGGCGAGCACGACCCGGACCTGGACGACCTGCGCGACCTCCGCGAGCTGTGGGCCGCGGCGCGCCTCGGCTCGGACCCCCGCCTGCGCAACGGCGTGGTGGTGCCGCGCTGCGGGCCGTGCGCCGCGCGGTCGCTGGCCGGCAGCAGGGCCTCCATCGCGTCCACGGTGGGCGGCAGGGACGTCTTCCTGCACTCCGAGCCGCGCGACCTGCCGCTGCACCCCGACTTCGAGTACGAGTGCACGGTGTGCGGCGAGCGCGCCACGCAGGCGCTGCCGCTGCAGCCCGACTTCCCCGAGTACACCCTCGTGCTGCAGGACCCGCTGCCACTGCCGCAGTCCGTGCCCCCGCCGCCGTCGCGCCGCCCGGGCAGCAGGCCCAACAGCAGGCCCAACAGCAAGCCCAACAGCAAGCCCAACAGCAGGCCGGGCAGCAGGCCCAGCAGCAGGCCCAGCAGCAGGCCCAACAGCAGGCCCAGCTCCAGGGCGTCCACGTCGCACTCCCCCGGCCGGCACATGGGGGGCCGCTGCTCCTCGCCCACCCTGGTGAGTCCACGCTACACTACAAACCTAACTGTCTACTAAGTACACACTTACAAATGCATGCTTGCAAGTAAACACTAACAAACGCATGCTTGATGCCGTATAACAACTCCATGCGTCAAGCATGCGTTTGTAAGTGTGTACTTGCAAGCATGCATTTGTAAGTGTGTACTAAGTAGACAGTTAGGTTTGTAGTGTAAGGGCGAGCCTCGAGCACCACCATTTGAAGCAACCGTCTTCTACAAAAGTCACAAAAAATGATCAAAATCACTAAAAAATATTAATTACAATAAAGACAAGCATACGTAACAACGTCATTTACGCAATTTGTCCCGGCTCCTTTTGCAGAGCATCGCGAGCTCAACCACCTCCGGCGGCTTCAAGAAGTCCCCGCACCAGGTAAGTGGCGCCCGTTTCTCCACTTCTCCAGGCGGCCGGCGCTACCCCATGCGGGGCCACGCCGTCGATACCCCGCGGCAGCAGCTCATGGTGGAAGGAAGGCCGGGTTACATCGTGTCTTGCCTTAAGAACAACGTCTCCTCGCAGATTCGGCGCGCGTGCTCAGCGGCTCGGCTTCGTCACCGATAACTCTTTCTATGTCAGGAACGCCCGGCGGGAGGGCCGGGCCGGGCCGTCCGTGGCTTGGCGGTGCAGGAGACGCAGGTCGCGGCGCGGCCATGTTCGCCGCGGTTCGCCGCCGCGAGGCTACGCGAGGCTGGCAGCCCTGCCCCGTCCTCCCCACCACTGTGACGTCACGCCGCGCCGTCAGTCTCGCGAGATAAGCGGCGTACTGGCGTACTCCGTGGTGCGCCCCGTGCTGCTTGTGCTGCTTGTGCCCGCGCGCGTGCCTTTTCGTGCGATTTGTGACAGGTTCGTGATCTGCACGCGACGGCCGCGGCCCGCGACGCACGCCGCCCGGCCAGCCTCCGTTTCGCAGCGATCCCCGCGCCCGAGAGAGCAGCGTCGCGGTGAAAGTTGGTGCCGCCCAAGCCTGTCAGTGTTTGTTTACAAATCTCGCCTCGCCCCGTTCGGCGGCTCCAGCGTCCCAAAGTGCCGAAAGTGCAGCAGGCCGGCGAGTCGCAGCGAGGGATGACCGATGCCGCCCGCAGGCGCGCCCCCGCACTCGTCTGAAGCCGGAAAGAACCTCAGGTGAGTACGGGAGAAAATTCGGTGACGGGCGCTGGTTAGGTTATGTGCGGCCCACAACAGACGGTACAAAATCGTCGCTTTTGAGGGGAGGTGCTGTAGATCCGGGCCGAGGGAGCCCGAGCCGAGCTGCACTCGACATAAATTCCAATGTGCGGACCGTTTCTCGCGTGTGAGGTTAGGTTTTCGAATTATCGTCTGCAGTGCACCTTGCAGTGTGCTTAAGCATCTTCCTTGTTTGCACGCATTTCCTGCGTGGGCTTCACAGACCGCACCTTTCTGCCCCAAATCACTGCCAATCACGAATCTCATTCAACCTGCGTTAAAATGGCATACCCGATAAGTCAGATCTAACTTACTTCCTGCTCTCAGGTATGCACTTTGGATTTTGTCTATTTTCGGTCTTTGGGCTTGTGAGGCAAGGGAGGCGGTCAGGGCCTTCTGCGTCACACACACACTGCGCCACTTTTAAACTCTCGGCCGCTCGAGATTTTGGGGGTTTTGTAGTGCAGGTGGAGTGAGGGGGGGGGGGACGTTCCCGGCCACCCCACGCGTGGCGCCAGCCAGCGTCCATGGTCTGTCAAGTTAAGGACGCGCGTCAGACGCGCGTACGCGCGTACGCGCGTCCGGTTTGCGCTGGCTGCTGTTGGAGGGCTTTTGATCCTTTTGATCCATTAAAGTTGTTCAACCCGTACCTTTTTGGAAACGGGAGATGCCACGGATTCTCGTAATGCAAATAAAAGCGTGCAAAGACGAATTACAAGGTTTCAAGTGACACAGGAACGGTCGCAACAGCTGGTCCTGAGTCTGAAAAGTTGATTGTCTATGATAACAACTAGCTGTTTAGTTAATAAATCAGTATTTTGGTGAATTGTTGACGGTTTTCATTCTACTTTCCTTTTTGTCTTGTAAAATAACTTCCATTGATCGAACCCTGTGTGTGACAAGATGTTCCAAAGTACGTTATATGTGTACAACCCATTAGAGAGCAAATAATACCAACATAACCTAACCTACTGTCGCGTCATCAAAATGCTCCAATTCATCCATATCGTTATCAATTTCCTGAATTTCCTAGCTTTGATTTGCAAACGAGTGGTAGGGATAGGGATGGGAGCCCGACAATCCATTTATCCGGATGCAGCCGGAGATGTGTGACCGTTCCTGTGTCACTTGAAACCTTGTAATTCGTCTATGCACGCTTTTATTTGCAATACGAGAATCCGTGGCATCTCCCGTTTCCAAAACGGTACGGGTTGAACAACTTTAATGGATCAAAAGGATCAAAAGCCCTCCAACAGCAGCCAGCGCAAACCGGACGCGCGTACGCGCGTACGCGCGTCTGACGCGCGTCCTTAACTTGACAGACCACACAGGAGGGCCAGTCTGGTCGGACAGTGCTTATGGCCGCCGCCGCGCTGCCTCGGAAGTGGCCAGCAGTGCTTGGTCGCTCTGTCTCTCTCGCACCCCCAGGGCCCTAGGGCGCGCCCCACGAGTGCGAGAGAGACAGACGCGGCCGCTCGCAACGACTCGGAACGAGCCTACAGCCGTGACCGAGAGAAGAGGCTGAAGTGTCACGGCGCGGAGTGGACAGTGGACCTTAAAAAGCGCACCGCTGCGCGGCTCTGCGAGCGGGGAAACCTTTCCGAAGGAGGGGCAGAGACGCTGGGCAGAGACTGTCCGCACTTTCCACCTCAACAAAAAATATTGTCAGCAAAACCTGTGAGGTAGGCAACCCGCGCGCGGTTTGCCGCGAGTTTGGCTGCATTAAGGCATTGATACCTGCTAACGCACTTCCGGTGTCCTCGCCGGCTGGGCCGGCTCGGCCGGCTTGTTGCAGGCGAGACAGACTCGCATGCTTCGCGGCGCTTGGCGGCGCTTGGCGGACAAGGCAGCCGAACTCGGCGAGAGAATAAATTAAGTGGGAGCCTGGACGCTGCGCTGCGCCGCGCTGCGTTCCCACACGTGGTTTCGTGTCCGACGCGGCCGCCCCGCACCTTGCTCTCAAACTTTCGGTGACTATACCAAAAAGGGCTTAACGTGCTCTTTGATACCTTTTGGGGGAGGGGGGGTGGGCGGGGCCACGCCTTGGTAGTGCAGTGTCCTCGAACACGGAGGAATCCCAGCACGCGGCGGGGACCGTGGGGACCTGCGAACAACCGTGTTGGCACCTTCCGCGTGTTTCCTCGAGCCACACACGCACACACACACACACACACACACACACAATCACACACACACAATCACACACACACACACACACACACACACAAACTCTCTCTCACACACACACACACACACGCACACACACACACACGCACACACACACACACACAAACTCACACGCACACACACGCGCGCGCACACAAGTGCCAATAACCTACACGGAGATGCGCGGGGCGGCGCGGGGCGGCGCGGGGCGTTGGTGTGGACGAAACACAAACACGCATACCGTTTGCCTTGCCGGTGTCAGAGCGTCGACGCGGCGTGGCGCGGCGTGGCGCGGCGTGGTTTCCACTGTCTTGGCGGACCGCACGTCGCCGCCGTCCGCTGTCCGATACGCCCCGTACCGCGCGCCCCATATCAGTGCGCTAGCAGCACGCCGCCAGCAGCACGCTAGCAGTGTGCCTGACCTGTCGTCGCCCACCGCTTGCCTCTCGGCCTCCATCCACCTGCCTCGAAAGGGAACTGAAGCAAACACACACCAAAAAAAGAAGTTAAAAAAAATTCCAAAATATTACGTCCTGACCGCTTGAAAACTCCTCATTCAAGCGTAATGAAAAAGTTTTCTACTTGCATATAAAATTGCCAAAAAATTGTCTTGCTTGCTTACCTTAAAAAAAAAAAAACAGGAAAGAGAGAGAAGACCTCTCGAGGTGGCGTTCTGGTTTTCGCCAACGGAAGCAACCGATTGCAAAGAGGTTTTCCCCCCTCCCCGCGCGGTGCGATTCTCTCGCTTCCGCCGAGAGGATACAGTGTACTATGAGTTGCAAAAGAATCGGACCCGGCCGGCCGGGCTCGGCGATACCCCGCGCCCAGGCTGGTGCTGAAGACGCGCGGACAGGTAGGAAGACGGTCGGTCGCCGGGCCGCCTTGTTGCCAAACTATAACTGCAAGTGCACAATAGCTTTATGAGTGAATGACACCTCGACCCGACCCCTGGTCTGGGCGCCGCAGAGCAGCCGAGCAGCTCTGCTCACCCGGCCGGGCGGGTGCGATTTTCTCAAGTTCATTTTCGTGTAAAAATTACTAATTTTGACAACGCTACCAGAATGCATCTCGAGATGAGCTGATTATTTCATTATAAGGTGTTCAATGAACTTTTTCTTACTTCATAAAAATAATCCTAGAAAATTTATTTTTATATGCATACAGTAAAACTCCCCTCTAGGCTGGTCCCCTCCAAGCTTTTTTTTTTTATTTTCGCTGTGTAGCCAGTCCCTTCGCAGCTCGGTGCGAGCTCGCCGTTTGACGAGGGGATGACAGCTGAGGGCCACAAACCGGCAGTGACCGCTCCACTAGCCCGACTTGTCTAGGTCCAAATCAGCCCAAACTCGCGATTCAAATTTTTTTGCGTGTAGTACTACATGAGATACCGTGCTGTGCAAAATCTCAGGCCGATCGGACAAGTAGTTCCCGAGATATGATTTTTTAAAGTTTCGCCAAAACTTGCTGCAACCGGCTGCACCTGCGTTTATTGCCCTCCCGGCGCACCGGGTCGACCCTCGCCGTCCCTTGCACCATGTGGTCAACGAATCGGGCTGTTCTCTCGAAGCTTAATCTGTCCCCCGATTTGTCAGCTTGGATGGGAGTTTTACTGTAGATCGGGAATTGAGTTTCCAACACATTGGTCAACATTTCAAACATGTCAAGCAACGCCCTGGAAAATTTGCATTCTAGAATCAGCTGAGTCACCACCTGGCTATTGTTTCGAGGGCCTCTTTCACTCCGAGCTGCACCGCTGTGAGGGTGCTGACACGCAGATTTATTGCCCCTCGACCCAAAACAAAATTTTTCGAACAACCCAATCTTTGGTTCTGAATTGAGTGGAAATGGGTTCCTTGCAAAGTTGCGGGTCCAGTCATATGTTGAAATTTTGTTCTACGCCAATTTTAACCGATATTTTAGGCCAAATCCGGTTGCCTCCAGCCCGCTCCGGGCTCCGGGCCCAGGCGGCCCAGGCCAGGCCTTTTGCACTCTGGTGCACGCTGGCCCCCTCCCCTCCCTCTCTCGGCACGTGCAGTTTATAGTTT